CTGGAAATACAAACAGGAGCTGCTATGGCATGTGATTCATCAAGTGTTTCCTTCCACCCAGGCACAGATGTTCCAGAGCGGTCTCTGCCCCTCCACCCAGGCACAGATGTTCCAGAGCGGTCTCTGCCCTCCACCCAGGCACAGACGTTCCAGAGTGTTCTCTGCCCCTCCACCCAGGCACAGATGTTCCAGAGCGTTCTCTGCCCCCCCACCCAGGCACAGACGTTCCAGAGCATTCTCTGCCCCTCCACTCAGGCACAGATGTTCCAGAGCGTTCTCTGCCCCTCCACCCAGGCACAGATGTTACGGTACGTTCTCTGCCCCCCACCAAGGCACAGACATTCCAGAGCCTTCTCTGCCCCCCACCCAGGCACAGGCGTTCCAGAGCGTTGTCTGCTCCCCACCCAGGCACAGACGTTCCAGAGCATTCTCTGCCCCTCCACCCAGGCACAGATGTTATGGCATGTTTTCTGCCCCCCACCCAGGCACAGACATTCCAGAGCGTTCTCTGCCCCTCCACCCAGGCACAGACGTTGCAGAGCATTCTCTGCCCCTCCACCCAGGCACAGACGTTCTAGAGCATTCTCTGCTCCTCCACCCAGGCACAGACGTTCCAGAGCGTTCTCTGCCCCTCCACCCAGGCACAGATGTTCCAGAGTGTTCTCTGCTCCCCACCCAGGCACAGATGTTCTGGGTGTTCTCTGCCCTTTCATACAGGCCCAACTGTTCCAGAGCATTCTCTACTCCTCCACCCAGACACAGATGTTCTAGAGCATTCTCCACCTCCTGTCTAGGTCCTGACCTTCCAGAGCCTTCCCTGCTTTTCTGTGCAGGTGCAGTTGTTTCAGGACGTTCTCTGTCCCTCCACAGATGTTCCTGAGTGTTCTCTGCCAAATCCCAGACATTCCCAGAGAGTTCTCTGCCCTTTCTCCCTAGGCGCAGTCTGCAGGCCTCCCTGGCCAGACGCAGACCTCCTGGAGTGATCTTTGCCCCTCTCTTTGGAATAATTACTTAACTGTTTGGAAGACTTCAATTTCCAGATGGCTCCCTCATGTATCTTCACCAGCAGCTTCCTCCATAACCGTGCCCACTGACCCTGACGAGTCCAAATTGCAATCATTAGGGCTCAGCCTCATCAGACATGGCCCGGTGGCTTACTCTTGGGGGGATCCTGGTACTGAGGGGGATATTGTTGAGTGTTTGTCTCTCTCTCTCTCACACACACACCCATACCCCTCCCTTCAGGCCCTTGCTTTATTGTAAGCTGCTTTTTAGCCCAGATCTCTCCTTTTTTCAATCAAATTCCCCAAGTGTCCTGGGTGCAGCCCCTTAATTGTCATTTGTTTCAAAGCTGTACGTGGCTTAGGAGCCTGTCAGAGATGGGCCTGTAGCACAGGAAGCCTACTTATCAGTTGGAGGAACAGACAAGGTTTTCCAAGGGAATTTGCAGTCCAGATTCTACCTCCTTTCATGGCCATGGCATATAGCTGTGGTACACAGTACCCTCCAGTCAATACACGCTCTGCTACAGGCCTCTTGGACCTTACCTCTAAGCTTCATTCCACATCATTATAAAAATCCAAATACCATCCTGCTCAGGACAGCAGCTATGTCTAGTGGTTAGAATAGTGGGCTGGAAAGCTGACATGTGGGGTCTAGTCCTAGTTCTGACACGGAATTACCGGGTGACTTCAGTCACGTCACTTCCCTTTTCCATGCCTCAGTTTTCCTAGCTGGAAAATGAGAATGAGAATTATGGTCAGTGCTTAAAGGTGAGATGCAGAGGGGGCGAAATTCAGGCTGTGTCATTTTTTTTGTTTCTTTATAAAGAAGGCCTGAGAGAGTTTGAAGTTTAAAAATATGTAAGAAAGAGGGGGATTTTGCCAGCATCTCTCCTTAGAAATAGCAAGGATATCCAGTCATCTTCCCTTTGGTTTTGTTGGGAGACTTCCTGGATGATTCAGAAATGGGGTCTGGGAGGTCCATGTAGCTGAAACTGTTGAATCCTTAACAAAGAGCACTAGGGTTTGAGGTCAGTGGGAGTGAACAAGACCCAAAGAGCTTTCAGCAGACAAGTACAAACTGCTTCACCTTCTCAGCAAATCAGCTTTCATTTCTTTGGTTTTGTGATGTCACAAACCTACCCATTCCCCAGTCACTCACAGAGTGTCCAGGGGACAGAAGATCTGAATTTCTAATGTGAAATACAAACCGAGAGAATAACTGGTCAGCCCTTCTGTAAACATAGTAAAGAACCAAAGAAGGCCACTAGCCCGGCTGTTTTGCCTTCTGCAGGTCATCACAACAACTAACACACCAAGTAATGATAAGACTAACTCACCTCTCAGAGTGTTATGGAGGCACTGCTCTGAAATTCCCAGAAGAGAGTTGTTATTGATGTGCAATGTGTTATTCAGATACTTACTGTAGACGCTTGGTTCCCCAGGAGAGGACTGGAAGGAGAGCAAAGTGTACATTAATTTCAGATGCCAGCAGGCTACTTTGGGGGAAACAGCGAGATGAACAGTGTGTGTTGATCTATGAACTAGATGAGTGAGCCAGCCGGGGGCAGATAATACACCCACCCCATTCTCCACAGCTGGAGATCAGGATTCACTCACTCATTCTTTCTTTTATACAGAACCACTCTCAAGGCTCCATGATGTAAGTGCCAACTCTCTGGCCATGCAGAACTAGAAGAGAGTCTGCCATGCCACTTGTTAAACAGTCATAGATTTCAAGGCCAGGGAGGTCCATTATGGTCACTTTAGCCTGAACTGCAAAACAGGGGCTGGAGAATTTCTCCTAGTGGTTCCTGCATCTAGCCCGTGAATTCTGGTAGATGTAGTGCTGCTCAGTGGGTATTGCATTTAGCCCCATAACTCGTGGAAACATGACTGAACATGACTGAATATGGCACTCTGATGGCTCACTTCCTGTGACTGCTACGTGGTATTTATGAGTCATTTTTATGTATTCTACATTCTACATTCTACTGGCTAACTGAAGCTAATTGTATGGAGGGAGAGGTGAACCTAAGGACACATCTTCCAACAAAGATGCGCAAGGTCTTAAGAGCAGAAAGAGCAATCTGCAATTGTACCTGATCGTTAGAATATGTCTACATAGCACACTGAGCCCAGATTCAAACTTGAATTCAAGCCCAAGCCCCCATTCCATCCACATAGAAATTAGTCTGATGCAGGCCAACTTCTCTTGACTCAGGCCCATTGATGCTGCTAGTGGGTGGGTCAGAGCCCAAGCACTTTGTAGTGTGGACGCAGCTCAAGTCTGGGTCTCGGGGCTGGAGAATCTGACACTATCCCACAATCCCCTGGGGCTGTGCTTCCCAGCCCTTCAATTCTAAAACTTGCCACTCAGTACCCAGGACCTTGAAGCAACCTCCTTATACAAAAACAGCTGCTCGGCATTTAACTCTTCGTTTCCACATGGAGTACTCAACTGGAATCAGCAAACACAGTCAACGCTAATGTGTATTAGCTATGACCAGCAGTAAGATGAAGCCCTGTATCAAGCACACTGCTAGCTGGTCACAGGAACACAGCCAGATTCTGGTTAACCTCTGGGGAAGGGCAAGATAGACATCTGACTTCAGAAAGAGCACAAGGAATGATCGTGTGTATGGAATAATGTCTGAGTGCCTGGCAGTGTTGGAGATTGACTGGACAGCAGATCAATGCAGAGTTGAAGACAGACTACTGCAAAGTCAAGGATGCTAATAGCACCCCTGGGAACTCCCGTCTTCCTACCTCTTTTGTGAGGAATTCGACTGGATAATGGAAACTTCACCAAGTACTGAGTCTCCTGTGGTGTGTGATCCTCTGCTGAACAAGGATGGGGACCTTATAACCCTGCATCACAGGCATCACTGGAGGAGCGAGCAGGCTGCCAGATGAAAGGCAAGAAGTGTCTCTAGAGCTGAGGCTGGTAACTGAAGAGGCTATGCCGCCAGAGCAGCCACAGGACATCCTGGGTCCATACTAAGAGGACCTTTTGCGGGATGGCTCTGGGGAGCAGTCCACTGCAGGACCCGCATCAGGACAAATGCTGGAGCTGGAAAGTTTCTGCTGCCATGTTTCTTTTTATTAATATATGGATGGGAGGGATTTCCGGCTTATGGGCCTATGAAGTTATTAATACACCCTAGGATTTTTGTGTACTTCTGTTCAGGGCAGACTCCCTGCCAGTAGATCAACAGCGCAAGCCAAGAGGTATGGTCAAAGGGCATTGCCAGTGACTATGAGCCAGATCACACACCAATGAATTCAATGGGAGTTTTACCATGGACTTCAGTGGGAGCAGGAGCAGGGCCTATGTACCTTGCTTTGCTTGCAGACCAATTGTCCTCATACAGCCAGATGCAGGGAGTGCAGTAAAACCATGCCCTAAGAAACACAGCTTGCACTAAATCTCAGCAAATAACTGACCTCCTTTTATGTGCCATGATGCTATGAGTTAGCACACCGGAATTGTCCTTGCTGTGTCCACAACAGGAGATTTGACTAAAATGACCCTATGGGAATCTTCAGACATTCAGAGTAATTATGAGAGGGCCTCAAATGATTAATTTTTGCTGTACTATAAGGCTGATTCCTCCCTATTCTTGCCACAGCCCATCTCCCCTGCCTGCAGCTGACCTTTGACCCAGACAGGAAAGCAGCAGGCCCTTCCACAAGGGACAAGCTGGTGATTAGCAAAAAAGGAATCTTCTCCCAGTTTCCTTTGGATCCCACATACCTGTTCACATGGCTCCTGGGGAACAGACAGAACGACAAGCACAGAGAAAGTTCTACTCTTTGCATGTACTCTGCCTCCAAAGTGTTCTCCAGATGGAGCAATGCTCTGCAATTTGCTTTGTGCAGCACAGACAAGTTCCCTTTCAAATCATGCACTCGAAACCATGGCTCCAGTGTTGAGTGATTATTTCTCTGATCACCCCCTACTTCAACTTAGTGATGCAAATACCACACTCTGGGCCTGACATTTTAATAACAAATAGTTACAAGGCTGTTCTACCAGTGGAGTCCCGAGGGCGTGCACCTGTACTGATACCATGACAGGATTTGCAGTTGGGCTGGTCAGGAGAACAGAAAATCCTGACTAGGAATCCAGGGTTTCGATGCGGAAGAAGCTGTTGGATGTCAAGGAGTCAAAAAGGCAACAGAGCAGCTCCTCAGCCTGGGGAGAAAAGAAAGCAGGGTGGGGGCAGGCTAGCTTTTACTGTCTGTGTACCAGGTAATAAGTGTATCTGGGGCTGAATCCATCCTGATGCAGAGGGGTGGATTAGCCTAGCAGAAGGGAAACACCCTCCAGTTATTATTATGACACAGACACTTTCAGGGCTCATGTTTTCAATGAAAGAGAAGCAAAAATGACATGCACAAGGTGCTGAGTGGGAAATCACCTAAAGACATCCCCTAGGCTCCTCTTCCTCCCACCCCTTCCTTCCAACCCCAACCTGGCTCTACTGGTCTGGCTGGCTACCATATGGGTTTGTTCCTGATGCTTCCCAAAGGAATGGAGAGGGACAGGTTGGGGGCAAACAATGCAGTCAGGTCATTGACACCAGGCAAGACCTGGGGGACAAGGCCCTGCTCACCTGTATGGGGACTGGGACAGAGGGAGTGCCTGTCTCATGGACTCCCATCCAAGTCAGTGAGCGCATGATGGGGCCTGAAGAAGAGCTAGGAGTCAGAGGGTGACATTCTGGGCTGTGCCTTTCAGAAGGGCAGCACAGAGCTCATGTCCCAGGGGGTGGGCAGCTAAACTGGCTTCAAGCCACCTTAGTGCCTTCCCCATCCTGGGCTCCTCTACAGCCCCCAGAGTTACAGAGAGACCTCAGGGTTTGTCTACATTTTGGCAGCCTCTTGGGGATGCCCTTTGGGCCACAGCACTGCCCAGCATCCCTGCAATGCTACTTGCTGAGGCTCCCCCCAACATGCCCCCAGCCCTGCCCTCGACATGTCCATACGTCAGGTATTGTAAGAAGATCCTTGGAAGATAGCATTGTGGCTGTCTTTCCTAGGGCCTGCACTAGGGGAATCCTTCTCCTGGAAGATATGGGACTTTTAGGGCCCCTTTACAGTGGTCTGACCCCTTTCACCTGGCACAAAGAGGCTGGAGTGGGGGTGAGGATCTCCCCAGAGTGCTTTGGAAAAAGTCCCCCACTCGCTGCTCTCACAACCCCAGTCTCTTCGCTTGCTAGTATTTTTTTCCCTTCTATTCCATGTCTGTTTTTTTCCCTTCTATTCCATAGAGTTTTTCTGATGCAGGTGAAGGGAGGGAGAAGCTAAGACAGCCATCTTGGCTGCTGGCTCGCAGCAGAAAAACTCCCAGAGGGTTTGGGAGCCAGGCAGAGCTGTGGGATTAGAGCTGTCACTCAGAGGAGGCAAGTTTGCACATTTGCTGTACAGTTATTGATATCTGTACAGTGTCCAAGCAAAACTTAGCACTCTGACTGGCTAACAGCGGCTAGATCGGGGGGGGGCAGCAGGGCTCTTACTTAGCATACAGCTAGTAGGAAATAGCTGTGTCCGCAGTTATGCAAATCAGATGGCCAAAACCAATCAGAGTGCATGGAAGTGCCTAACCAATGTATAGGTCATTCCAGCCTGACAATTCAATTCCAGTGTGATATATACATACACATTACCATGTGCTTTGTTAAACAGAAAAGGCAGCAGAATCCTATAGGGAAATAGCATTCCTTCCCCACATATTCGAGTGAGTCTCATAAAACAAAGCAGCCACCACTCTCTTTTTGGAGCAGTGCAGTACATCTGCCTGGTCTTGGTATACGATCTTAAAGGGTAACCTAATGATTCATAGTACCTTACACAGACGGCCCATCCATCACACTAGAGAGAATTCTTTCCCAGGTGTCTGGCTGGTGGTTCTTGCTCGTATGCTCAGGGTCTAAAACTGATCGCCATACGTGGGGTTCAGAAGGACATCTCTAGATCAGAATGGCAGAGACCCTGGGGTTTTTTTGCCTTCCTCTGCAGTGTGGGACATGGGTCATTTGCTGGTTTGAATTAGAGTAAATGGTGGATTCTCTGTAACTTGAAGTCTTGAGGACTTCAGTAACTCAGCCAGAGGTTATGGGAGTATTACAGGAGTGAGTGGGCAAGGGTCTGTGGCCTGCACTATGCGGGAGGACAGACTGGATGATCATGATGGTCCCTTCTCCTGGCCTTGACGTCTATGAGACTATGAGTCAAATGGGCAATCCCTTTTCAGTACTGTCCGTGACTTAGCTCCACTGTCGAAGGCTGCAGCTCTGCTCAAGTGATCTGCTGTAAATCTTAGCTTCTCTTATTTAGCCCTGCTGCCCTTTGCCTGACATCGTATTGTTTCTCATTAGCTCTGACCTGGGAGGTCTGGCTGGCACTTCGTAAATTCATCAGCAAGGGACCAGGGGGTCAAACATAGTTTCCAGGGACATCCTTTGAAGCAGTTTAAACTCATTTTTCTAGGAGTTTGCTCCTCAGGTTTTGCTCCATCATTTCTAAAGCTACCTGAGCAAAAGACCCCTTGACAATGGGAGATGGTATTTCCCACTGTGCATCTCTATCCAACAGCAGGAAGCACCATGGCTGGCACCGTCATCAAGGGGACACTATTTTCTACATTGATTGCAAAATGCTGCATTTGCTCTTCTCAGGACAAAGCTGAAGGCCTCATCAGTAAATTCCAGTGGGCCTGCTCCTGCTCCCACTGAAATCAATGGGAGTTTTGTCCTTGCCTTCAGTGGAAATGAGATTGGGCCCAATATGCTGATTGGTGGAGAGGCTGGGCTGAACACATGTATAGCAATGGAACTTGTCCTGGCACAGAAAACATCCCAAGCCTCTTCATCATGGGCTGATTGCCCATTTATTGGCACAAGACAGAAGAGATTTTATATCAGACAGCTACAACTAACATAATTTCCAAAGCAAATCAGAGGGTATCCCAAATACCAGTGGACAGCCCAGAACTGTTGTCCTGGCACATTACATGGCAACAGTTGACCACCATTGGCAGCAGCAGGTATGATGGTGTTATATATTCGTAGCTGGCTTCTAAAGATGGGCTACCTAAGAGCTGAGTTTGCAGACTTTCCCAGGCTTTGTATCACACTCTCAGTTCAGCATTGGGGACCTGCACTGCCTGTCAGGGGCAACACAGAACACCTGGTGCTGGAAACTACAGCTTTACAGCGCCAATTGTGGGAGTTCACACCTTGGCAAGAACACAGACTTGGGGGTGCCGTCCCAGCTGTATCTTCTGAGGCTTAACCCTTAGAAGGCTGGTGCTGAATGTTGATTTTGGGGAAAATCTGCCATCTGTTGTCAGCTCCAATGAGAGCTATGCCATGTTGCCAACACATCTGACACTCTCCCTTGCTTTCCCAGACAGGCTGATTTGCTGGCTACCATTTCTCATGCAGTCCCAGCTCTTTATACCCCTTACACTCCTTGTTCAGCCAACACCCTGCCTCCAAAGCTCTTGTCTGGTTTGGAGCTACTTGACACAATCCATGTTTGCAATGTGCTGTTGAGAAAACAGCCAGCCAGCCCATCATTTAAAGGGTTAATGAGCTCACTGCCCTTCCCCCACCTGGATCAGTGTGAGGACTTCTAGAATTTTAATGCCAAGTGGACGATTTTCTATCAAAACTATTTTTCAGTGGAAAATTAGGTTTTCAACCAAATGAAACTTTCATGAAAAGTATCCGATTTATGTGAAAACCTGTGCTATTTTGCCAAAAGGACAATATATTTCTATTCAAAATGGCACCGCAGCATCTTGTGGAAATTGCAGTTTGGGAGCCTTATGCTCCCATTCTCTTCCATGGGCTGAGATCTCTGGCCAGACGACATCTCCCTTGATGCACCACAACCAGGGACTCCCATGATGCACCCCTCCTTCCCTCATCAAGAGAAAGTTTCATTTTTGTTCAAAATTTCCACCAAAAATAAAAGCTGTTTTCTGACCAGCTCTACAGCTGTTTTCTTAATCTACAGCCAGCAGAACACAATGGAAAGAAAAATGGTTATTTTTGTGGACCAGGGCCTCCTCCACTTGCCTGTTTCTCTGTTTGGGGATACAGAAGATGCTGCATGCAGTCCAGCACAGCCTGCTTCTGCCAGCGGCCACTGGGGAGAGAGAAAAAACAGCAAGGGAGAAGCAAATGTTACTCTGCTGTCTAGGCTGTCGGAGTCTGCAAATGACCTCGCTGAGGGGAGGGGTATGTTCTTTGCCAGCAGCTCAGGCCATGTGCATCTGTTGCTGAAATTTTTTACACAGATAAATCCAGGGCTTTACAAAGCTTTGTATAAATGGATTGAGGCTCTTAAAATATAATCCCTCAGACAAACGGTAATGACCAGTGATGTAACAGAGTCTCTGCGGAAGTGGGGGAAACAGAGAAGCTCTGGTGGAAAGCAAAGATCTCACACAGGGAAATTCTAAAGGACTTAGTTTTAGTTTTTTCCCAAATACCCAAGCCTTCTGGAGCCACTCTCAGAACCAAGAGGTCTCCACTAGTCCTCGCTCCTCCCACTCTCAAGCCAATCAAAGCCTGAATCAGCCAGAGGACAAGGACTAGAGGTGCTGGGTAAGAGTTTCAAAAGCACCTTGATTTAGGAGACTAATGTCCCAGTGAAAATCAGTGAGGCTCCCTAAGTCACTTGGGTGATTCCCAGCTCCCACAACTAGGTACTGAGCTTGGGTGACAACATCGGACCCCCTTCATAGCTGGCCAATGTCTCCAAATGGCCTACCAATGTATTTTTAAAGATCTGATAGTTTTCCAGCATTCTTGTGTGTCCATTCAATAAGAGCAGTATCCTGATGGTGTTATCCAAGGGGATGCTGCACAGCAGTGAATTGGCCTGTTGTGCTGTGTGATGACCCTCATGCGTGAGCTCTGCCAAGTTCTTGGCACAACAGAGCCATCAGAAGAAGCCAGGTGCATGTAACTGCACATCACATTGCAAAATATTAGCCTGTAGTGTTGAGAAACTCTGCCTCCTGGGGTCAATGGGTTAATTGGTATGATGATAATTCTGTTCCACTAATCAGTCCCCGTGGGGGGTTCTGTTTGTTTTAGCACATTTACTCCTCTACCAGGCATTTGTGGTGATTTATTGAACAGGTTTATTTTTTATTTCACTCTCTGGTGTTTGTTTGAAATTGGTTTTCCATGGTAAATGCAGAATCTACACAGATTTTCTCCTAGCAAGTTTATTGATTCAGCAGTTTATTCTCAAAGCAAGACTTTATTTTGGAGAACTCCCTGTGTCTTTGCAAAATAAAATCCCAAAGCCATCCTTACTGCATCCTTGAGAGACCCCAGCACCTGGCTGGGGTGTTTAGGATGTGTGACTTCAGAAATTAAAAACTCTCTAAGATGCTGATGCATACCCCTGCCCCAATAAATAATGACAAATGTGTGGCCTTTGCGAGGTAACTGCCCTTAGGAGAGGCTAAACTGGAAATGAATTACAGAGAAGACAACCCAGCCCCATGATTAGCTCAAGAGCTCTCTGGCATTTGGCTGATGTGGTGTTGTCCTTGCTTACCTGTCCAGCAGGGACTCAAAGCAAATAATGGCATTGTCTCGCTGTGCTGCTACCACCAGACATGCCCCGTCCAACAGGGAATGCTGCAAGGGAGGGAAGAACACCAGGCTGGTACTAAGACCACTTAAGTAACTCTGCGATTGGCTGCTGACAGCACAAGGAACACCTTGCGCGCTGCGTGGGGGGATGAAAGCGATGGGGCAGCATGCTCTTTGAAATGCCTGCTCCACCAGAGTTCAGTTGTTACTCATTCACCTTGGGCTTTACATTTTTCCTAGTCATTTCTCTCTGGGCGAGAGGCAAACTGAGGTATTGAAAAGAAACTGTGGCCTCAGGTGTGTTACTCAGACTGCAATAGCAGGAGGCTAGGGAGTTCCCAGAAGGACCTGTCTCCTTCTGGCAGGGGGAGAGTGACTGCTGTAATGACTCCCTTTGGCTCAGCACGATCAGGCCTGTGTGGAAATATACCAGCCCAGCCTAACTCTGTTTGAAGACATTCGTCTCTGATTGGGGAAAATAATTTCTGGGCAACCCTACTGGTGCTGCTTGGCTTCCATCATACTACCCACCCCTTTGTCTTTCCTATAATAGCTGGGGATCTTCCCTGGTGCATGAGGGACTTGTATTCTTGGGATAACCAAAGGGAAACAGGATGGTGCTTAGTCTAATTGGTTGCTAGATGTAATTGCTCTTCTATATACACGTACTTTAAAGGGATAAAAAGAAAAGGAGGACTTGTGGCACCTTAGAGACTAACAAATAAATTATGCTCAAATAAATTTGTTAGTCTCTAAGGTGCCACAAGTCCTCCTTTTCTTTTTGCGAATACAGACTAACACGGCTGCTACTCTGAAACCTGTCTTTAAAGGGATAGTGTCAGTTTAAAAATCACGCTTAGAAAATATCTTACCTGCTCTTGCTACAGTAATAGCTAAGACCCCTCAAGCTAAAAGGTCAGAGGCAAAAATATTTGTCTGTATTTTCTCAGTTGGGTGACTGTGTGCATTTGACAGTCCTTTGTTTATAGCCACTTCCAGGGAACTCATTTCGCTCCACTGTTTGCTTTGTGCATCTGACAGCACTTTCTTGTATAGTCCACTTCCCTGCTTCATTCTAGTCAGCTCCCTCTATGGGTGTGTCTATCATACAGCAGCCAGGGAGGGGGTCAAATCCTCAGATGGCATAAGTAGGCATAGCTCCATGGACTTCAACAGCAGTCCTCACATGCTTAAGTTAAGCATGTGCTTAAGTGCTTTGTTAGAGGAGGGTTCGAGTTCTCAGTCCTTTGCAGGATCGAGCTCTGAATAGCTATGTGTGAACACACTGGACTATCCTGAAGATTACTATTGGGTACCTCAGCACCAGAAAGCTAGTGACAATCTGGAGGGAGTTCAGAGATAAGCAACTAAAATGACTTGGGGGTCTGGTTTCTGAGTAAAACCTATGAAAGAGTTAAATATGCTTAGATTGGCTAAGCGAAAACTAGGCGGCTGGGGACAAAATCTCCTCCCAGTAAATCAAGAGTATAATCACCAAGAAGAGAGAGGGATTAGTTAGCATAGCAAAAGGGAGATAGGGATTAATGGAGTGAAATTAACAACAGGGAAATAGAGGCTGTATATATCAGGGCAAACGTCCTCCCTGAACCTGCGGCCTAGACTCCCAAGAGAAATTGGGGATGCCCCTGTAATTATAACTAGCCTGGAGTCAAGACAAGCAAGTGTAATAAGGCACAATCATGCATTGATAGGGGGATGTACTCGAAGGCCTAACAGGGATTTGCCATCTCAGGAGTCACAATTAAGTGAAACTAAAAACTGTATAGACTAGCAAATGGCTCTTCTTGTTTGGGGGGCAGAGGGAGGAGTAGCTCCATTGTTCCATACCATTGTCGAAACATCGCACCCCTCAGTGCTCAGTGTCTCAGAGATGAGGTGAGCCTGTGATTTGTCCAGCACGGTGAGCCGTATTCCTGTCACTGTGAAATCTCTGCCAATCAACTGGTCTAGCAGTCCAAGGTAAGGCGGGCGCTCTGAACCCCGAAGGATTATCCCGGGAAGTATCAGGCAAGTGGTTTGGCAGAGTGTATCAAGCAATGGCAGGTCTGATGAGAAAAGATCAAAACACAACAGATTGTTGTTTAACATTTTTTTTAAAAAAAACCTTCTAAACACCCTCTCCTCCCCCAAACAAACTAAATAACACAAGGATCAGAGAGGTTCATGCAATGTTATGTTGTGTAGTTGCTTGCAGATGTGATTGCTCATCCCAAGATGCTGAACTGGTGTGTGCGTGCGTGTATGTGGTGTGTAGATAGTTAGACAGTAGTAATGACCCCATTTTCAGAGACATCAGACCAGGAGAGCGCCTGATTTATTACATGAGCTACTATTCCATTTAATTTCTTCCAGGCAAACAAATCTGTTAATCCATCTGGTTTTATAATCCAAACATGTCATTCTGATCAGAAGCCGAAAAGTTTGGTGTGTTTCATATTTCCCTATGATAAATCTGTTTGTTTGTATAGGCAAAAGCTTTGTGGATTTGATGAACAGGAGCCAAAGGGACAGGTTTCTGTGTGTGCAATAGAGCCCTCTAGTGTCCAAGACGTGGATGCAGCATCTGACTTACTAGAAGCACTTACTGTAGTGCCTGATGGTTTAGTGGCCACATGTCCTTGCCTTCTCAGGACAGTCCCACTCTGGAGACTGTCTCAGAAACTGACGTATGGGTGTATTGTGTCAATCCAATATATTTCATTACTCTTCACTCTACTTAGACAACCTCAAAGTAAAGGTGTGACATTTACGAAACAGCACCCGGGAGCTAGCAGGATAGATTCCAGGATTCGCTGCCAAGACTAGGAAACAAAGTGCTGCATGCAGCTTGCAAAGCATTCCCCCGGCTCCTCAGGGAGGTGTTTTACTTGCAATAACTCTTTTAAATCAGGAAACAGATCAACAGTTTGGGACCTATGCTATAAACCTGGCCCTTTCTGACTGTGCAACTACTCAGAAAAAGGTTCTGCATTATGAGAAAGGGCTGGGAACTACTGCCAGGAAAGGCCTGAACTGGAGAGATCCTGATGGTGTCCTCTCAAGCAGCCTTGTCTGATATGCCTTTGCATTTCCCATCTGCCCAAGCTGAAATGTTAGATGGAAAATAGTCACTGATTGAACTATCCCCAGGTGGGAAGGTCAGCAAACAGCCAGCAGATAGCGGTGCATGGAGCCATCAATTCACCAAGCATGCTCCCCCTTATGCACAGAATTACCAATACCTTATTCCTGCAGCTCCTTGAGAACAATCTGGCACAAGCAGAAGTGACCTGTGGGAGTGAGTAAAGTTAAGGGCTAGGTCTAGTCCTCCACGCTGAGGGATAGTTAAGACCCATGCCTCTGTGCAGCCTGTCCCTTACTTATTAATGTGCAAGGCAGGAAAATGGGCACAGCTGAGAAGATGTGGCCTTAAGTGTGCTCATCATGCTAATGAGGCACATGGGCCCTGATCCGAAGTCCATGGAAAAGGCCTGGCATTCAAAGGCTTAACAGGCCTGAACTACTTTTGAGTAGTTCTTTCCAGCTCCGAACTGTCTCTGCTTTCTGAAAGGACATCAAGAGCGACTTTGGCTGACACCAGATGGTTTGTCTTGCTGGCCAACTAATCAATAGCAGTTTGAGGCCTATAATGAGCAAGCTCTACATATCCTTACCTAGACTATGCTGCTGCTTGGAGCCCAGGAAATTGAGTTGCCTTCTTGTTTCATGTTTTACAATCCTGTGCCGCTTGCTGATTTCCGGTCTGACTATCGGGTCACATTTCATGTTACAAATCTGCAGGAGGGAAGGGGAAAGGCACATCATGTGATTGGTCTCCCACAGTATTCTTGCCAGCAAGTTAAAAAAGTATGGATTGGATGAATGGACTATAAAGTGGATAGAAAGGTGGCTAGATTGTCGGGCTTAATGGGTAGTGATCAACAGCTTGATGTATAGTTGGCAGCCGGTATCAAGCGGAGTGCCCCAGGGGTCTGTCCTGGGGCCAGTTTTGTTCAACATCTTCATTAATGATCTGGATGATGGGATGAATTGCACCTTCAGCAAGTTCGCAGATGACACTAAGCTGGGGGGAGAGGTAGATACACTGGAGGGTAGTGATAGGGTCCAGAATGACCTAAACAAATTGGAGGGCTGGGCCAAAAGAAATCTGATGAGTTTCAAACCGGACAAGTGCAAAGTCCTGCACTTAGGATGGAAGAATCCCGTGTACTGCTACAGGCTGGGGACCGACTGGCTAAGCGGCAGTTCTGCAGAAAAGGACCGGGGGATTACAGTGGATGAGAAGCTAGATATGAGTCAACAGTGTGTCCTTGTTGTCAAGAAGGTTAACGTCATATTGGGCTGCATTAGTAGGAGCAGTGCCAGCAGATCAAGGGAAGTGATTATTCCCCTCTATTCGGCACTGGGGAGGCCACATCTGGAGTATTATATCCAGTTTTGGGCTCCCCACTACAGAAAGGATGTGGACAAATTGGAGAGAGTCCAGTGGAGGGCAATGAAAATGATCTGGGGGCTGGGGCACTTGATTTATGAGGAGAGGCTGAGGGAACTGGGATTATTTAGTCTGCAGAAGAGAAGAGTGAGGGGGGATTTGATAGCAGCCTTCAACTACCTGAAGGGGGGTTCCAAAGAGGATGGAGCTAGGCTGTTCTCAGTGGTGGCAGATGACAGAACAAGGAGCAATGGTCTCAAGTTGCAGTGGAGGAGGTTTAGGTTGGATATTAGGAAACACTATTTCACTAGGAGGGTGGTGAAGCACTGGAATGCGTTACCTAGGGAGATGGTGGAATCTCCATCCTTAGAGGTTTTTAAGGCCTGGCTTGACAAAGGCCTGGGATGATTTAGTTGGTGTTGGTCCTGCTTTGAGCAGGGGGTTGGACTAGATGACCTCCTGAGGTCTCTTCCAATCCCAATCTTCCGTGATTCTGTAATCAGGATGGGTGAAGCTTTGTAAACAGCTATTCAGGAAAGCTGAGAAGTGTTTTGTCAGGATGTTGCATACACCTGTAATTGCCAGCCTAGGAAAGGCCCAGTCATATAGTTGGGAGCTGAAGGAACGCTCTGCATGCATTACCCCTTCTTTGTGGTTAATTCAGGACGGCGCCCTGTTATCCTTTTAAAGATCCTGCATCCAAAATCCTTGCCCAGGCCAGACTCTCTAGTCTCCAAGAATCAACCCACTGGCATAATGGTAGCATTTCTAGCTCCCTAACTCTTTGGATGCGAGGATCATACTGGAAAATAAAATCAGAATAGCTACCAAGAAAGTAAAGGTTTCTCATTTCATTTTAGCTACAGGCAGCCTAAATTGTTTTTCACTGGTGGATTAAGTTCCTGACAGCCCAAACCATTTAACCCTTGCAGTGCTGGTACATATGACAGGTAAAGGGCCCCACTGTTTAAGATGGTGCCATTATAGGAATAGCTTGTGTGGAGATATGTTGTATGTCCTAGGGATTGGTGCCATCCTTTTGCAGCTAGAAGCAAAGAAAGGGTCCATCTAACACAGTCTTTAAGCACTGGGTTCTCCCCTCCTCCCACTTGCCTTTTCCTGCCTCTCAACCTTTATGACACTGGCTAATTCCCAGGTGTGCACCACCTACAGGACTGATCTGGGGTTTATGTGGGGCCCCCAGGATGGGGAAAAGGGAGGGTTTGTGGTCACTGAGAGGCAGGTCATGTTGGGACTTTCATGAGGAGCTAGTTTGGACTTTCCTAACCAACCCACTCTCTTGATGTGACCTGCCTCTCCCCGAGGCTGTGTCTGTGTGGCTCTCTCCTTTAGGCTGGGAAAGGGCAGGGCACAGGCAGGAGATGGGAAGAGCCAGCATGAAGGCATAATGGGGAGTTGGGGACAATGGGGAAACAACAGGAGCTCCTGCTAGAAGAGGGGAGAGGTTGCTGATAAGTGTCTTTGTTCCCAGTCACAGATTCATAGATTCCAAGGCCAGAAGGAACCACTGTGATCATCCAGTCTGGCCTCCTTGTCTAGCCTATCCCTCTGTGGCAGGCACTAACAATGTGTTGTCTGTAATGTTTTCAGGACAGATGCATTTGGGAGAAAGTGTTGTTTATGAAAGTGCAGGCCTAGCAGCTAGTCCCAACATAACCTAGCCAATCGCTGTACAGGCTGCACAAGTCTACCATTACATGTCCTCCTGGCCAGCAGCCCTTTGTGATCCTCTACTTCTCAGCCCCTGAGCCCCCTCACAGCTCTGCCAGCACACATCACCCCTGACCTGCAGCCCCTGGCTATTGCAGTCCTAAGATCTCACACAGCTGTGCCTGTGCACCTCAGTTTGGGACCCCACAGAGCTATTTCAGAGGCTGAAACTCTTCTGAACAGAGACTGCAGATGATTGCAGACCACATGGTGGATCTGGATAAATGCCCATGCCGGACAGAACCATCGCATTTTAATTTATTTCCTAACTCCCATGTGAACCCTTTGCTTTTGAGGTGGATGGTTAGTGCAACAATTCATTGTAAAAGCATTGATAAGCTATTACCAGCAGGACAGTGGGGTGGGAGGAGGTATTGTTTCATATTCTCTGTGTGTATATAAAGTCTGCTGCAGTTTCCACGGTATGCATCCGATGAAGTGAGCTGTAGCTCACGAAAGCTCATGCTCAAATAAATTGGTTAGTCTCTAAGGTGCCACAAGTACTCCTTTTCTTTTTGCGAATACAGACTAACACGGCTGTTACTCTGAAACCTGTCATTGTAAAACCTAGCCCTTTGCTGCCTTGTTTTCCCATCTCCAAGCACTCCCTGAATAGGAAGTGTTCAGGCTAATCTCAGGCTAGGGGAGTCTCTCCGTCTGTGCATGGAGCTCTTGCTCTTCTATATTCCCCAAGGTACTTCTGTGTCTTTCTTGAAGGTTTAGTGTCTCTCGTTTCCCACTGCTTTATGTCCTTTACTCTTGAGGCCTTACATCACAGCTAACATCTTCCCAGCCAGGGAGGACTGGACAGGACTTCTTTTACAGCCCATCAGTTACACTCCTTAGTTGGTAGGAAAGGTTGCTGGAGTGGGCCTGAATATATCCTCTGGACAGGAGCTGGCAAGGATTTCTGAGGCACATACAACCTTTGTATATAAGAGCAAACTAAGTGCATTGCCTCTGCAACACTCCCAGCTCATCCCAATCTCACCAGCAAGAGGCTGGGAGCAGAAAGATAGTTCATACAGGTGTTTTATTCTAAATACTCCATATATGGAAAGAGAAGAAGAATCTCCCATGCCATGTACTGCATGCAATTTGAAGAAGCAGGGTTTCACCTGGCTTTCAGTTGCTCCTTCCCCAATGCAAGCCTGGTTCTCCACCCTTGCATTCAACATTGAATCTACTATGAAATGGAATGGGATGGGGATGACTGGGTTTTTGTTCTAGGATGAGGCTCCTTATCCCCCAGGTGTTATATATTCTAACAGGGGTCCTCCAGCGCAGTATTTCTTGCAAGACAACCACCCAGAGAAGTATTTCTTACCAAGTAAATGTTTACCAAGTATTTTTCTTCCCATCTGTTTTGCAAATGGGATTCTCTTGAAATTCATGTGGCTCAGGGAAAGCCCTGAGAAAAAATCCTTCTTCCACGTCATTCCCTGCAGCTTTCTGTGGCTCTGTGCAATTGTATGGTGATGGGGCAGAAGGACTGGGAGAATGCCATAACACTTTAATTAGCTTCCTCAGTATTGTGCCTCAAGAAAAGCCCTGGAGCATGATTTTCAGAATGCTGCATACCTCCATGTCTAACTCATGTTGATGGGAGTTGCAGATGCACAGTGGCTTGGCAAATCAGACTCTTGTTTTCTACCCATTGAATGTCGGAGAGGCTGGATTGCTGCTGTCTGTGACTCTCGTTGCCAGTAAGCCACTTCAAGAAACACCCCTGTTGACTCAGTTGTGGAATCCTGGTTCTAAATCTTCAGACCAGAGCACTCATGTTTGCTCAGTGTAATTGGCCTCAAATCCAGTTTAGAAAAACCAGTCAGATACTCTGGGTCAGCTTATGTTAGTGCTCTATGGCAAGAATCATGGAATTGGAGGACTGGAAGGGACCTCAAGAGGTCATCTAGTCCAGTCCCCTGCACTCATGGCAGGACTAAGTATTATCTAGACCAGGGGTCTCAAACACACGGCCCACAGAGTTATATCCTGTGGCCCTCATAGGCACCGACTCTACCGGCAGCCAAGTTCCCCTCCCCACCATGCGCGCCATGTCCTCCGCTCCTCCACATACCTCCCAGCACTTCCCGCCGCCAAACAGAGTGAAGCGGGAGGAGCAGGGATGCGGTGCGCTCAGGGGGGGAGGTGGAGAAGAGACGGGGCCGGGGCGGGGATTTGGGAAAGGGGTTGGAAAAGGGGCAGGGAGTGGGAAGAGCTGGGGCGGGGACTTTGGGGAAGGGGTGGGAAGAGGTGGGGCAGGGGTGGGGCCTCATGGACTAGATGAGCAGTCTGAGGTATGAAGTTCAGCATGTATGATTCTTTGCTGTGAGTAGTTGGGAAGAATGTTTGTTAAAAGGGGCACTGTATTTTGTATGAATAGTTACTTTAAAAAGTTCCTGCCATTACAGCTATGTTGATAGACTGTTAGTGTAGATCATCATCAGTGTTACTGACCACATAAGGAATAGTTACAAGTGTTTACAGTTTTAAAAAAGTTAATACATTGACTTTTAATAGCATACTATATTACTCTTCATTTTTTTCATTTTTGACTATACTTTTGTATTGTTGTATGAAAAGGTTTCAGTGATGCAGTCCTCGGGCCAATGTACTAGTCCTCATGTGGCCCTCATGGTGATTTGAGTTTGAGATCCCTGATCTAGACCATCCCTGACAAGTGTTAGTCTAACCTGCTCTTAAAAATCTCCAATGATGGAGATTCCACAACCTCCCTGGGCAATTTATTCCAGTACTTAACCACCCTGACAGTTAGGAGTTTTTCCTAATGTCCAACCAAAACCTCCCTTGCTGCAATTTAAGCCCATTGCTTCTTGTCCTATCCTCAGAGATTAAGGAGAACAGTTTTTCTCCCTCATCCTTGTGACCTTTTATGTACTGGAAAAGTGGTATCATGTCCCCCCTCAGTCTTCTCTTCTCCAGACTAAACAAACCCAATTCTTTAAATGTTTCCTCATAAGTCATGTTTTCCAGACCTTTCATCATTTTTGTTGCTCTCTTCTGGGCTTTCTCCAATTTGTCCATATCTTTTCTGAAATGTGGCACCCAGAACTGGACAAAATACTCATTGAGGTCTAATCAGTGCAGAGTAGAGCAGAAGAATTACTTCTTGTGTTTTGCTTACTGTTAACACATCCCAGAATGATGTTTGCTTTTTTTGCAACAGTGTTACATTATTGACTCATATTTAGCTTGTGATCCAGTATGAACCCCAGAACCCTTTCTGTAGTATTCATTCCCAGGCAGTCATTTCCCCATTTTGTATGTGTGCAACTGATTGTTCCTTCCTAAGTGGAGTACTTTGCATTTGTCCTTATTGAATTTCATCCTATTTACTTCAGACCAGTTCTCCAGTTTGTCCAGATCATTTTTAATTATAATCCTATCTTCCAAAGTACTTTCAACCCCTCCCAGTTTGGTATAGTCCACATACTTTATAAGTGTGATCTGTATGCCATTATCTAAATCACAGATGAAGATATTGAACTGAACCAGACCCAGGCCCGAACCCTGCAGGACCCCACTCGATATGCCCTTCCAGCTTGACTGTGAACCACTGATAATGCCTCTCTTGGAACAGTTTTCCAACCAGTTATGCACTCACCTTATAGCAACTCCATCTAGGTTGTATTTCCCTAGTTTGTTTATGAGAAGGTAATGCGAGACAGTATCAAAAGCTTTACCACAGTCAATGCTTAGGTAGACGGAAAAGGCACCCATAGGCGGGGTAACAGAACAGGGAGAGCCAGGGGACCATGCCCCCCCTCTACTTTTTACTGGCCATAAGGGTGAGCAATGGGGGAAGGGGTGGAGAGGAGCAAGTGGGGGGTGGGGTCTTGGGGGGAATGGGTGGTCTGAGGGTGGGGCCTCAGGGAGAATGGGTGGCACGAGGGCGGGAGCTCAAGGAGAACGGTCGGTGCGAGGGTGGGAGCGAGGGCGCGGGGGGAAGGGGCAGTGCAAGGGTGGGAGCTCAAGAGGAATAGGCGGTGCGAGGGTGGGAATGAGGGCACGGGAGAAGGAGTGGTGCGAGGGCGGGAGCAAGGGCACAGGGGGAAGGGGCGGTGTGAGGGCGGGAGCTCTAGGGGAGTGGGCGTTGTGAGGGTGGGAGCTAGGGTGCGGGGGGAAGGGGCGTTGCAAGGTTGGGAGTGAGGGCATGGGGGGAAGGGCCGGTGTGAGGGCGGGAACTCTAGGGGAACGGGTGGTGCGAGGGTGGGAGCGAGGGTGCGGGGGGAAGGGGCAGTGCAAGGGTGGGAGCTCAAGAGGAATAGGCGGTGCAAGGGTGGGAACGAGGGCACAGGGGAAGGGGCAGTTCGAGGTCGGGAGCGAGGGCATGGGGGGAAGGGGAGGTGCGAGGGCGGGAGCTCTAGGGGAATGGGTGGTGTGGGAGTAGAAGCAAGGGCGCAGGGGCAGTGGGGGTGGCCTCGGGGGAAAGGGCAGTGCAAGGGTGGGAGCTTAGGGGGTAAGGGGCGGTGCAAGGGCGAGGGCAGGGGCTCAGGGGAAAGGGGCAGTGCAGGGGGGCAGGGACACAGTTCAGGTGCCTTTGGCCACCCCACTTTTAGTGTACTTCCACCGCTCCTTCCCATAGGGAATATAAAGAGGAAGAGGATCAGAGTCCTGGGGTACTAGGGCCACAATTATTGCTCTGATAGAGCAGGACATTCTTCAGGACAGGGCAGAATCCTACCTCTTCTTCCTTTAGCACCCAGGAATCGGCACAGCACAGCCCTTCTGGAAAAAACAACTTCATATCTCGGACAGCAGCGTGATAGGATCTGGAGCCTGACAGACAGACACAAGGAGAGGATTCTATCAGGCCAGGAATTAAACATTCTTTAGGCTCACACTCATCTACCTGCAAGACTGATGGCGTGCAACTCACTGAAGTAATTGCTTTAAAGGGCAGCTGTTATATACAGTCACCGCAAACATTTAAAAGCATGATATTTACATTTGCTTCATTGTCTTCTTGGTATTTTGATTTTGCTCTATTATTTCTCAGCTTTGTTCTTCATACAAAACAAGACTCCTTTCATTTCCTAGCAGGGTAATAATGGGACTCATTGGAGGTAATCAGTGAAACAGTTCACACTGCGGTGATAATCCACTACCATGGCTCCCATGCTGTCTAGATCACATCAGTCAGGTGTTATTGGATGGGAGGGAGCTACTAATGATCTCAGTAACACTGGTGGTGATAACTTACAGTAGCGTAAATTCTTTCCCTTTAAATATCAGCCACTCCCAGAGGGAATGAGTGTCATAGCTGTTGTCATCACAAGCACCACTACAACAGGTAGTTATACTGGGAACACAGCTGAGATAGTCACTCTGTTATTACTTTAGTGGCTCAGTATTTTCATCAACAGGCACAGCTCAGACACGAGGCATAATGTGTTATTTAATCATGCCCCACTCTGCACCTCTGATGATGTCAGGATTTTGGAGAGGGGGACAATATGGGTGGGGGGGACACAAGAGGAGGAGGATGGACTTGTGGTTAAAGCACAGTACTGGGAGGCAGGAGGTCTGGGTCCCAATCCTGGATGTGACACTAACAGACTTGTGAGGTGCTGGGAAAGTCATTTAACCACCACATGCCTCAGTTTCCCCTTCTGCAAAATAGGAATAATGAGATTTTCGTACAGCACAGGAGTGCTGTGAGGCTGTATTTACATTGCTTGGAAGACACTGGAGAAAGAAACATTATTCCCCTGGACTGGAATTCAAGCAGATTGTCGATATGTCGGGGCAGACCCATGATTCTGGGATGCAACAGTTCTCTGTACCAAAGCCTGCTACCCTCTGGAGAATGGTCACCATTGCAGGCTGCACAGACTCAAAATATGAATATTTATTTGTGGTACAATAGCTCCCGGAGTCTTCAGTCAGTACAGACATAACGTGAGAGACAGCACTGGCCCCAGCAGTTTATAATATAATGATCACTGGTGCGTAAGTCATGCTGCCAGCTGCAGAGCCCTTAAGCCTGATTCGCCATTGCCCTACACCTTGTGAAAGTCATTTAAACCTCTGCAGAGTGGGTGTAAAATGCTCCCAAATCAGAACAGGAGACTTTTCCAGCCCCTTTGCACAAGTGTAAATGATCACACAAGATGCAGGGCCACAGGGCATCAGACACCCTTGGACCTTGGTGTGGAAAAAGAAAGTCCAGAAAAGAAGGAAGTGGTACAGGCTGGTCAACTGCTAGTATTAAAACTGCATGGCTCAGTTTGGTGCCATCAGCAGAATTCTACCTGTGTGTTTTGCTTGATTTTTCTTGACTACTCTAGGGACTGCTGCTATGGGAGAAAACCCACACAATTAGTGTCTGCTCCAGTTTGTTAAGAAGACATCTGGCAGGGAGCCAGAAATTTGCTTTTGTCTGGAGCAAACATAAGGGCACTTGGTGTTTTTTCATATGGCAAAGAAATCTTCTTGGGTAATCCCCTCTTGATCGCTGATCGGTCCAAGCTGAATGCTGCTTTTCCTCCTCAGTGTGTCAAGCGCTTTTTCCTTGCTTGGAGGAGGGGTATGATGAACTGATGAATGCCCTGCTTCCAAAGATGGACTGCTTCTTGGCACAGCAGGGTGGATCCTGCCCTGCCTTGACAAATTACAGAGTACACTGTCAACTGTATTGCCTTCCCTGGAATGTGTGGAAGGAAGCTGTTGTGTGCCAGCCAAATTAGACTCAGCTCCAGTACACTGGTGTGTAATCTGGTGTCTGCATACAGGTGTACACCAATTCTGGGTGTCAACTAGCCCAGCTATGTGACTGAGGAAATGGATGGGACTAGTGATTCTAAGGGACCCTTCTGCAAACATTGTGTGGGCTGTGTGATCTCTTGAGGAATAGGCACTCTGGGGCCAAACCACCAGCTGATGTAAGTCAGCATGAACTCCAGACTTCATAGGAGATACTCTGATTTTCTGAAATACTTTGACCTTTTTGAACCATGCCTGGCGAGGTCTCATTCACAGAGTTTTCAGGATATGTAAATCTATCAACCTGTTAGGAACTTGAGAAGTGGGGTTTTCAGGATGGGTTTGCGCTAATTAAACAGTTCTGAGTATTTCTTCAAATCTTTCAGGCAGGTAAATCCTAATCTTCAGTTACTCCCATGGATGGGATGGTCTGAGTGGAAGTGGAGACGGATTTCTCTTGGTTTATCCATAAACCCAAGGACTGGAATAGCGAACAACTCTTGAAGGATGAACTGCATTCCTTGAGGCATCCGTATAGGGGAAGATGCGGATTCTCTCTCTTTGCAAGGGAGCTGCTGTCGGAATGAGGCAGTTGGTAAATACTGTGTATGTAACAGAAAGGCCAAACAATAGAACTCTGTATTGGCACAGATCCTGTTGGATGCAGAAAAGATACTTCCCATCTGTAAGCTGGCCGGATGGATGGAAGTATGAGTCTTTGAAGCAGAGAGCGGCAAGCCACCCTTATGAATTTAGAAAAGCTCTGAAGGAGACTGTCATCATCCTGACCTTGAACATGCAGATCAATCTGCTGAGTGCCCTCAAGTCCAGCAAGGAGAGGGATGGGGAAGGAGGGTGATTTGGTGACATGGAGTGGAACTAAACAGAAAAACCTAATTAACCTAATGGGGCTAGAGAATGGTACCTATGGAACCAAAATCCATGTGCCTTCTAAAGCTTACTGATTTATTTTAACAAATTTATTTGAGCATAAGCTTTAAATAAATTTGTTAGTCTCTAAGGTGCCACAAGTACTCCTTTTCTTTTTGTGGATACAGACTAACACGGCTGCTGCTCTGAAACCTGATTTATTTTAAAAACTATTCATGTGTCTAATATCTGATTTAGCTATTTGACAACCAACTCCAACTAGGGAGAAAGATGAGAAGACCATAGAGTTGAAAGTCAAGAGATCAAAGGGAATTCTGACTTACCACTTTGATGGCTTTGGCCAGAACCGAGGCTGCAATGGGGCTATGCCTGTTTATACATCTCTACCTAGAATTCTGCACAGCCACTACACAACAGCCAAAGCTTTCCACAGGCTTCTGGGCTTTGGTGCAGTGTGGAGGAGCCTCCCAAGGGTTGCTCTAGACTGACAATGCTTGAAGAAATAGTAACAGTGTATGTTTGTTTCTCTTGGCATATGTGAGTCCCTCAAATAAATTTTTCTTAACTTGGAGACCCACCGTAAAATCCATTTTGGACTGAGCTGGCACCGTACTGAGCCCTCCAAAAGCATGGGTCTAGTGTTTGAGCCAGCGTAGGGTCCTCTGGCCCCAATAAGTCTACCAGCTTCTTTACAGCATTCTGTCTCTGCAGGCACAACACGAGGGAGGAACCAGAGGTGAGGTAGCTGCAGTGAGCTTCCAAAATTGCAGGCTCCTGAAAAGAAAAGCGGGGTGAGAAAGAGATTACACTGATTCCTGTTGAGTATTAGATACACCTGGCAAACTTCCAATGGCTAACAACATCCATACCGTAAGCAAACACACTGGTCAATCTTCCCTGCTTCCTGTCCTCTGTACACTATAAATGGCCATGATCTGTTTAGACAGAGCTGCCACAATATCCCCCCAAGATCACCAAACCAGCATATGTGCACATGCAGCCCACTGGAGAGTGTATTTTACAGGGCCCACTCTGCACCCGATCCTCAGAGAATATGAGTCTGTTACAGCACCAGCTAGGGACCCTTGTCTGTTTAGCTCAAGCTGTAGCAGCTTTCGCTTTTAGCTCTGGAAGCCCCTGGTTCAATCCAACATGGCAGCTTTCACACACACACACATACATACATACATAGGTCTAGTGGTGTTTTAAGATAAATCCTTTGGAAGAACCAAAACAAAACCCGGTTTCCCTGAGGATGTTATAATATTCCACTCTGGCATATGTGGTCCATGGCCGCACACATCCTCAGTTCAGGGAATATGGATAGGGAGAGAAGGAGTTAATTCATGGTTGGTAAGGAACACAATTTGCTACAATGCAGCTTAGACATCATTTTCAACCCTTGTAAATATCTGGAGAAAACTCCTTTTCCAGCTAATAGTGAGCATTCCCCAGTGGACAATACACTGTATATATAAATCTTCCCACTGTAGTTTCCACTGCATGCATCTGATGAAGTGAGCTGTAGCTCATGAAAGCTTATGCTCAAATAAATTTGTTAGTCTCTAAGGTGCCACAAGTTCTCCTTTTCTTTTTGCGGATACAGACTAACACGGCTACTACTCTGAAACCTGAAAATATATATAGAAAAATTTCACAAGGCTGTGCTGTGATAAAAAAGTGCTGTCGAGCACTGGTGGAAGAATTTTAACAACACAGAATATATTTCAATTTTTCGAATCAAGAATTTCAGACTGCATTTCAATTTTTTCAAAAATGTGTTTCTGTTTCATCGAGTGAAACAGACTCATTTTTCATTTTTTGGAAATGTTTGATAGAAATTTGTTTATCAAGGATATTAACCAGCGCATTACCTAAATGTCATTGGCAAATTAAAAATGCTGATATCCATTTCAATTCCTGTTTCAAACATGTTTGATAAAAATGTCGATAAACATTCCAATTAAAATGTCACAAAAGACTTTTGGCAAAAGAATTTTTTTTAGGATAACAGAATTTTACAATTTTTTTTCATATAATAAAGGTAATTTCTCAATGAAAAAACATCCCGTTTGAAAACTTTTTAACAGTGTTAGTGCTATTATTTTAAAGTACGGTCCCATTATGAAAAAAACCCCAGTACAAATGCCAGGGATCTAGATTTATTGTCTTGCAATGGCTCCCTAGCAAATGTGTTTCATTTTCAGGTGATGTTTCTAACTATTGACACTGAAAACTCATGCTGGGACCAGATAATCAAGCTGGCTTCTTTCCTCCTGGTGGACTGCCACTGGTAGTAAAGGTTCTATAGGCCAAACAGTGCCCTCATTTACTCCCATGAAACCTCACGGTCTTCAGTGACAGCCTTGTGTAGCACATGTGTAGCTGATTGGAACCTAGTAAACAATTTCCTCAAGGCACAAGAAAGATCAGAATCCAGCTGTGTGTTGGCTCTGCAGGCCTAGCAGGACTAAAAAGCAGCAAAATCTTTCCTCCCATCCCCCAAAGTCTGAATAGAGGATTCTGAATCTACACAAGGAATAGATCTAATGAGTGAAGAGGTACAATTTGTGCCTACTGTAGTCATCTGAGTGCAGATCCACTCTCATTGGGTTGGGGCTGAGATCTGAAGGAGAACCTCAGCTCTGTTGATTTGGCCTTCATGTTCATTTTTAGATTAACATTACTATGGACCCTGAATCTTCAGATAAAAAGTATTATTGTAACTAATGTGATTAGAAAACCACAGCAAACATTTGTATCATGTGCCATTGGCCAACAGTTACTAAGAATGAGAGGTTACTCACCTGTCCAGGAACTGGAGTTCCTCGAGATGGATGCTCCATGAGACAATGTGCATACCCATTTAGTCATCAGTGCTCACGGGTCTGTGCCTGCACCCTTACAACTCTTTGTGCTCCAGTATAAAGGCCTGCCACTGCTCCAGTTCCTTCTCAACCTCGAAGCCCAGCAGGACTCCGAAGCTGAGGGGAAAGGAGAGCAGTTGATGGAGTACCCACAAGGACAAAACATCTCGAAGAACTCCAGTCACTGCAGAAGGCAAGTAACCTCTCTTCTTTGAGTTACTATCCCTATGGGTGCTCCACGTCAGGGAATTTATGAGTAGTATCTCAGCACAGAGGAGGGTGCTGAGCAGGTGACTCAGTACAGGCTGGAAAACAGATTCACTAAAGCCTTTCTTTAGGTCTTGAAAAGCCTTGAAATAATCTGTGTAGGATGGCAGAGGAGGCAGAGCTGCCTTGTCTGGACAGGAGGAGGATTGTGGTGTCTCCTCCTCTACCCTTAAGTCCTGTTTCTCCAGAGACTTTTCTTGAGGAAGAAAGTCCTGAAGTGCCGATGGCTGTTGATCTTCACAGGTCATTTTGCATGAGGGCACCCTATAGAGCTGGTCATCGTAAGGGGCCCAAGGGTTCAATAAGGCCCACTGAGGGGGGGCATAAAGGAAAGGAGTGGGACCCAGAGATTCTCCTATCAAAGGTGATGGGTCATATGCTGACTGGTTACAGGGGTCTCAAAGGAGGAGTCTGGAATTCGAAAGGGATGGAATCCTAAATGGAGGCTGAGTCCAAGGAAATGTCCTCTCCTGTCTCCAGTGGAGAAGCTAAAGGCGCCACTACTCATGCTCGGATGGGTACAGGGGACTGAGGAGAGATGGGCAGCCATGTTGTAACCAACAGATTAATCTTTGTATGAGTATGGGACAGTGCTGGAGGGCATGCCGGTTCTAGTGGGAAATCCCCCGCATACTCTTCAACAGAGGGGATTAGGGCTCTTCCATAACCCAGAGGTCCTCATGAGAGAGGAACCTGGATGGTACCAAAGATGGTACAGATGGTTGGTCTGTATACTTTTGATAGCTATGGGTAGAGGGAAATGGTACCAGGTGGGGTGAAGACAACTTTTGTAAAGAGTCCTTGCCCTTTCAGGGGTCCTTCAATTTGGAGAAGTATGATCCGATGAAGCAGCCACATGGGGTTACTTGTTGGAAGGCTTCATGGCAAGCAGCTTAGTAGTAGAAGACTTTCTTGGTGGTGCCAGCATCTTGGTACCATGACAGCCTTGGCAGTACTTGCACTGGGACATGAGGTCTCCTTGCTCCCTGGTCTTAGTGGTGACTTTTCCCTCCTCTTGGTCTCTCTTTCAGGGGAGTGGGGTCTCTTACACTTAGAAAACTTCTGGGTGACCAAAGCTGCCCTATGGTATCTGCTTGACAAAGCTGAGGAAGCCACTGGAGTGCTGTGAGTGACTGAGGCTGATGTATGGAGGACGGGGAATCAAGATACTCCTGGTTCCTGCTCTTGAAGCTGGAGCACATCTTACACTTGGCTGGGATGCGAGACCCTCCAACATAGCAGAGGCAGCTGGAGTGCTCATTACTGAGGAGAAGAGACCTGTGGCAAGTCTGGCAGAACTGGAATCCCAGGTTATTGGGCATAACCTACCAGAAAAGACCACAGACTGGCAGGAGCCAAGAGCAGAAAGGCCCTGATTGCAAAGAAAAAAGGGAAAGGGCAATTCCCCCCTCCCAAAAGCACAAGACTGTACTATAAAAAAAGGAATAAAGAATACTATCAAGATGAGACAAAACAAAATAAAAAATAAACCAGCTGTGTCAGCTAGCTAGCGGACACTGCAAACTCCATCTCAAGCCAGCGTGGTTGGAAGGAAGTAGTGGGGTGGTGGGTCAACCCCTCCCTATATGCCCTCATACCAGTGCCCAAGGAGGCATGGGACGCAGGCACGGAGCTGCAGGCACTGCTGACAAAACTCTCTGATCAAGAGTGCACAGGTGTGCACACCACCTCTGGTGGAGCATCCATGGGGCAGTAACTCAAAGAAGCTGTTCTATGTTAGTATTTAAGATTACGAAGTCAGAATAGTGATCATGTTGCTGTAGATATTATTTGGCATGCATGTAACCAATACCTTAGAAAAAGAAAGGACAGACTAGTAGCTGTCATGTTACTGGGAAAAATGCCAAAATCTGATCTGACTTCAAATAGTATGTATATGTCAGAATAAACCTAATATCACCTACGGGCTTAATCCAAAACCCATAGGAGTCCTTCAGTGACTTCTGTGCACTTTGGATCAGGACCCAAATGAGAAGGAGATGGGAGACCACGGACAGAACTTTTAGAAGGGTTCAGCACTTGCAGTCAGGACCAGGTTTTCAAGTGCTCAGCTCCCATTTAGTCACCTAAATTCATGGCCAGATTTTCAAAAGAGCTCAGCACATTGGCTGCACATGCTTCCCTAGGAGCTGCAGGACCCTCAGCAATTGGAACATTTGGCCCTTTGTCGGGGCCAGACTTACAAAGATGCCCAGCTCCCATGGAGGCATTTAAAGAGGGCCACAGCTGCAAAATGGCTCAGCAGCCAGCAACTCCCATTGTGATACTTAGCCAGATTTTCAGAAGAGTCCAGCACCCAAAATGTGCTTTTGAAAATCTGCCCCTTTAATTAGGTGCCTAACTGGGAGCTGAGCTCTTGTGAAAGTCTGGCCCCAACAGTGGGTGCTGAGCCCTTGGAGATCTGACCCCGGGCTCTTCTGAAAAGCTGGCCTCACGGCTGAAAGACTCTCAGTCATTGTCTATGAATGGGGATCAGAACCCTGAACAGTATACAGTACTTCCTGCTCTTCATTCCCCACTGCTACAGCCAGTCTATTATCTCCACTTTCTCACCTGCCGAAATAATAAAACCCGCTTTTTCCCATGAACAAGAAAACAATACTCTGTAATATTTAAACTCATTAGTCATCAGCTCTTTAAAGGAACTAAATCAATGCTCAGCAGCTGCTCTGGAGAGCTGGAAAAACACAAGAATAAGTCAAGAAGTTCAGATGAAACAACAGTTCTCTAAAGCTTCCCACCCCCTCCGTCTCTGAGAGACACTGGATCTTTTTAAATAGCCGTCCAAATACATGTATGTTTCTGGTGGTCAAAGAAAAACCACCCCCTCTTTATTTTTTTAATCTTATGATATACTCAAATTGCGTACAGCTCTTACCACCCACTCCCAATAACCCCACATCTCCCTTAATGGTGACCTGCAAGGAGTTTTTTGTAAAAGATGGGTTTGTGCCTTTTTTGCCTTTGTTATGATGTAGAAACAGAGGCTGGGAGTGCTCTTTATTTTCTTTAAAGAAAAGTTTTCCCACCTGCTTGTTTGTTACTTTAGAATGGGGTAGTCAATATGCAGACCACAGGTCAGACACTTTTGAACAGTCAGCAAAATCTTTTAATTTACTTATTATTATCATGATTGTTATTATTTTTTCTGAAGTCTGGACCTTGACTACACCTTGACTAAGAAATTTGGACCTTGACAAAAAGATAATTGATTTCCCCTGTTTTAGAATATAGCGACAGAGCAATAAGGACAAACCTTATTGAATTAAGTTCAATCTCCCTGAATTAAGATCACTGTATTAAAAATGCAAATGTTTCTGTGTTATTGTGGGATTGGACATAACACCTGTGGGGGGAGACATGGCAGATGTAAACCCTGGAGGGGGTAAAGAGCTTCAAAGCAAATGATTTTCCAGACAAGAATGAACTTTTAAAGTTATGTGGGTTTCTCAAAATCTCTACGGGTAGGTGTATGCAAATGTACCCTCTTTGGTTATGCAAGAACTCAACCTTTTGAAGCTTTGCCCTGAGGGTGGGACCTTTGTCTGCTGATCATCCGTTTCACAGGGACAAGATCAGAGGCCCAAACTGTATAAAGGAGGAACCCATAGATGCAAGGGTGTGCTTGTTCTGAGCCATGGTGGTTATGGCCACGCAGCCACAGAAAAAATCTTTGGTGGGGTTTGAAGGACTGACTCCTGCCAGAGCCGTTGGAGTTGGAGTGATCTCTGGTAAGCTTATTAGCATGTGTGTAGGTTGTTTTATGGTTTTTAATATGTTTTTTCCATAATGCTTTCACTTTGAGAATCAATGTGCTTGCTTAGAACTATGGCCAAGTACATTGTTTATAGCCTCTGAGGAGAAAGCAAAGCAGGCCTGCTTAGGCAGTCTGACTTGCTGGGGTATTTACAGGGTAGGCAGGGAACTATGCAGCATGGAAACACCCCAATCAGGAGGGAGTGTTGGATCTTTAACAAAGACCTCATCTATCTAAAATGTTATTAGACAGTGATGTTAAATAGATGTTAATGAAACCAATAAAATCTAAAGATTTTAAAAATAAATATCCCTTCCGGTCTCAGTTGCTTAACATTTTTACTTTCTTGGCTCTTGTCATGTCGTCATTTCACAAGCTCTCCAGTCAGTACAGAGTCTTCCAGGCTAGAGAGAATCTGAAATTCTAATGTTAAAAAAAAAAGCAAAAATATAAATTCTCTCTTAACTGAAAAAACAATGTTCATGCCTCTTTATTATCAAGCAAAAAAAGACACAAGCCCAATTTTGTTTTACTTGCAGGTCATTTTTAAAGACTCTAGAACCTCAACAGTTGAGCTTCGATTGGAAATGTAATAGGACTCATTATGAATTAGGAAGTTTACTTAGTAACTTATTCAGTTCACGGGAGGTTTCCTCCTAAATGGCACCTGCATGTCACCCAAGTGCTCAGAATTTTTCTTTCAGAGAAACCTGGTCTGTTTCTTTGTGCCATGTGATATAGCTCTCTTTCTATCTGACACCCAGTGCAGATTTAATTATTTTGTAGAGTTCACCTGTGACAACCACAGAGGAATCTTGGACTGGAGTTTTTGCTTTAACAGGAATGGATTCTATCAGCACATCCTGCAGCTGGATCGTTTTAAGTGCTAGTGCAGTTGTAAATCTGCCTGTTTTTTAACAAACCTGTTCAGCTTCAGATGAGAGGAGTCCTAAGACAATGTCTGGTTTCAGGCTTATGTGTTTCATCCCAACAAGGCTGAATTTTTCTAGGTCTAGTTTTCGGAGGATTCTAGCAAGGCTATGAGCCCAGACACCAGGTTTGATCAGCAACACAGTACAAAGAAGCTGGGCTCCTGTAACAAAAAAGCATTACAGTGAAACCAAAGATGTTTAAAGCACTGAGCATTGGTACTCACTCTCGGTAATTTTAAAGGCAAGCAACGTAATCGTTTGTCAGCTAGGATAGGCATCTAAAGAACAAGGACTTTTAAAAGCAGCTGGCATGCAGTCCACAGGACTGTACTGACAGAACCAAACAAATACAGAATAAGGCTGTGGGTATGGTTTAATATTTTAGTTTTAAAATATATCCAGACCAGCCAAGGCCAGAAGGGTGATTCTATCCGATACCTGAATATCTGTGAGCACTACCTATAGTTCCAAACATTTTATACCACAAGTTTGTAGATCCAGAATCAATTCATATCAGATCTTCATGTGGGATGCTAATTTTGCATATGTTAAACTTGATAATCGAGTCCCCTTTTCCATGTAATATAAGATCAGAACAAAGCCAAAGTTACCACAGGATATAAGATACAATCCTTATGGCAACCACTGAATCCTTATCATTCTTTATTTAGATCCCATGTTTCGGTTTCCCTACTAGGACTATGCTGTTTAGTAGGGCACTGTCAAATAGCTTAGATCTAAAGGCTCAGATTCTTAAGGGTACTTAGGCACAAAACTGCCACTGATTTTGGTGGGAGTTAGATGTCTAAATATCACTGAGGATCTGAGCCAAAATCACTTTGTGTGTGACCCAAACTTCCCTCTAGAGAGCTGAGAGCCGAGCTCAGCATCACTGTGCCTATGCCTGAGAGCCACAAAAAGAAACTGACTAGAAATGGAAAGTGAAACTGATCAGGCTAGCTTCACTGTCCTCACTGGGTGAAATGCATAAAGCAAACAAACTGTGAAAGTGTTGACATTTACATAACTGCCATTTAAAATTCTATCAGTCTCTGTAATCAAAAGCACCATATTATTAGGAGTACAATTATGATTTTTATCCTGATAACATCTTTTTAAGACTTGTTGGCAAAATGTAATGTCAGAAACAGTGAACTGGGACCCGTCAGCTCCTGGTGCCTAACCATGTCAGCTAGCATGAAGCATGTAATAAGTATTGCAGGCTGCTAATACTGTTACCATTATTATCTGTTTGCGTACATCAGATGTCACTTTATGTTTTCTATGCACCATGTTACTGATTATACAGATGTCAATGCAATGAAGCATCAGTGATACTACATATAATTTGATGCATGGAGTTCTTTACAAATGGCAAGAGACATGTTATTGATTCATGACACAAAGCAATTTGGAGCCAGATAAAAAATAACAACATGCCCCTCATTCTGTGTACACCTCAGTGAGACAAATTAACCCATTTTCTTCTGGGAGCTCTGACATTATAGGATCTCATATTTTCTGTACAAAATCCTTGAACAGAAAGGTAAATGCCATAGCAACAGCTTGCTATGCAGAGGCAAACCTCCCTGCTACCCACAGCTACTGGTGTATAGAATGGCAATCTAAATTACATATTGTTACATAAGTAGTCATTGTCCTCAAGATGTTTTACTCACCATCTGCTGTGTTTCTGGGCAAACATTCCTATTCTTTCTGGTATGTGGTTAACTATATGTGCTGCATATTTATACATATGTATATAAATTATCCACACCTGAAGGTGTGCACATGTTCTTACCTTCAGATAAGCCTGCAAAACTGACATCTTCAGATTCCCCTAAGAGCCATACACTGTCCCAGATTCAATCAGTTAATTGCCCACATATCAATGGGGACTCGCCATGCTGATCATGTGTTACTATAACCCTTAATTTGTAGGCCTCTGGTGCTCCCCAAAGGTCCAGGCTGATTTCCCCCATCACTTCTGACTGCTCTCTGGCCTTCCCAGGTTTTGCCAATGCTTTTCTAGCCTTTGTTACCTTTTCTTCTGTTCTGTGATACTCTCAACTCCCATCCTGGTGGCCAAGGTTTGGCCAAGTGTCTAAGTTGGTGTTGCTTTAAAGGGGTTGAAGCCAAACTGCTGCATTGTCTTCATATACACTCCTAAACTGGAGAGGTGTGTTTCCTTCCTTTGGGTGTGTGGGTGGCTTTAAATCAATACAACCTCAAGAGAAGCACATGTCAGGTTCCTGGGATGTTTAGACAAGGGCGTGTATATCACTGTCTGTGTTCAAGCCCAGGGTAACATCTTGTGCAATTCCAACTGTCATCCTTTTCCTTGGTCCCTGTTGGTATCTATCCAAGCTGGCTCCACAAAGGCCTTGTTAAACCCACTTCCCCCCCAGGAATATTTGCTGAACAACAACTATGTTTAAGAGAGTGAAACAGAGAGAGAACCCTGCCCTCCTCACCTGCTTGCATGTAGGTGAACAATGGCTCTGCGTGGCCTCTCCGAGTCTCTCCCCCTATAGAAGAACAGTGAATTGACTTTAATAAGTGAGCATTGCTTTGGGACAGCAGTTGGGAGTATTGTCATCTCTGCTGTACTGCAACATATGGCAGTTACACAGACGCTCTTCATGATGTACGCTTTGTTTTCAAATATCACATCAGGACGTACATGGCTTGATTTCAGAAGTGCTGAACACCAACAAATCCTGTCAAAGTCCACGTACTCTGCTCACTGAATAGGGAGTACTCTCAGGGACAATTCCCACCCACTTTAGGGCCCCTTTACACTACCATAGCAGTGTCAAGGGCCTTAGTAAACTGAGAGTCAGGCCCCCTGATGAGATCTTAGGTACAAATGGTTTTCCTGTTTGACAGGGTACCTGCGATGGCCTACACTGGGCAGCTATGGGAAGCTTAAGGCCAGTTCAAGGTACATGTGAACCAGGAACAGTGGAAGCTCCCTAAAAGTGAGGGGGGCCATCAGCGCCCAAAACCGTGGCCCCACCCCCCCTGCACAGCTCCTTCCCCCTGAGGCCCCGCCCTTGCACTGCCCATTCCCCTGAAGCCCCGCCCGTGCACTGCCCCTTCTTCCCAAGCGGTCACTCTAGCACCGCCCCTTTCCCTGAGGCCCTGCCCCCATGAAGCCCCTTCTCCCTGAGCCCCCACCCTTGCACTTCCACTTCCCCCAAGGCCCCGTTCCCACGCCGCCTCTTCCCCCCAAGACCCTGCCCTCTGCTCGCTCCTCTCTGTCCCCTCCACCCTGTGGCTCACCCTTACAGTCAGTAAAAAGTGATGGGGCCATCGCCTTCTGACCTCCCCTGCTCCAGAGCACCTGATGTGAACTGAGTAGTTTTTGCTGGAGCCCTGTTTTCAGCCCCCCACCTCCAGAAGAAAAGTGACAGATGAATTACTTTGATATCCTCATCAGGGCTTTAGTGATAACTGTATAAAACAGACCGTTCAGTCACAAGCAGTGATGAGCTGCCAAAATCTGAAGAACCGATTCCTTCAGTCGCTCCAGGTCTTCAGAGGCACGTCCTTCATTCGCTCCGGGTCTTTGGTGGCACTGAAGGACCCGACTGAAGTGCCACTGAAGACCCGGAGCGAGTGAAGGACTCGCTGCCCAAGACCAGGAGCGAGTGAAGGACCCGCCGCCAAAGTGCCGCCAAAGATCCGGAGCATCCGCCGCCGGGTGAGTAAAAATTAAAAAGGGATTCTCAGCCAGGGGAGTCTCCCCAGCTGGGAGCTCAGGTGGGCCAGACAGGACAGTCCTGGAGGCCGGATGTGGCCCGTGGGCAGGAGTTTGCCCACCCCTTTAACAACCGGTTCTAAACCAGCTTCAAAATTTAACAACCGGTTTGCGTGAACAGGTGCGAACCGGCTCCAGCTCACCACTGGTCACAAGGCCAGCACTCTGAGTCACCACGCAGCTTGACAACCGGTAACAGAATGAAAAATGCTACGAAGGAATCCCAAGGGTTGGAAGTCCATGGAAAACCTTATGCAGAAACAAGCAGCTGCATTGTTCACAACCCCTAATATATATTGCGCCTTCAGTTGCCTTAACTCAAGTGCTGGGACGCTTATGACCTTATCAACAAACTAGGAAAAAATGGGCCCTCCATCTGAACTGCTGCTCTGGGACTGTTCAAGGGAACAGCGCTGGAGAGGTTACCAAAATGTCTAGGCATATTAACACTCATGTTTATAGAAAAGGAGTACTTGTGGCACCTTAGAGACTAACAAATTTATTTGAGCATAAGCTTTCGTGAGCTACAGCTCACTTCATCGGATGCATGCAGTGGAAAATACACTGTAAGGAGAGTGATCAGGTAAGGTGAGCTATTACCAACAGGAGAGAAAAAAAACCTTCTGTAGTGATAATCAAGACGGGCCATTTCCAGCAGTTGACAAAAACGTGTGAGGAACAGTAGGTGGGGGAGAAATACATTAGAGTTGAATAAAGACTGGGAGTGGATGTGTCATTATACAAAGTAAAACTATTTCCCCATATTTATTCCCCCCACCCCCACACTGTTCCTCACACGTTCTTGTCAACTGCTGGAAATGGCCCGTCTTGATTATCACTAGAGAAGGTTTTTTTTCTCTCCTGCTGGTAGTGGCTCACCTTACCTGATCACTCTCCTTACAGTGTGTATGGTAACACCCATTGTTTCAAGTTCTCTGTGTATATAAAATCTCCCACTGTATTTTCCACTGCATGCATCCAATGAAGTGAGCTATAGCTCACGAAAGCTTACACTCAAATAAATTTGTTAGTCTCTAAAGTGCCACAAGTACTCCTGTTCTTTTTGCAGATACAGACTAACATGACTGCTACTCTGAAACCTGACTCATGTTTATAAAACCATTCCCTGTGAAGGGACTGGATGACTCAAGGGACGGGCAATGGAATATGGAGTCTTTCACCTTTAGGCTACTGGTTGATCTCCAGCCTAAATGCACAAGGGCTGAGCAGTGTTATTACCACTTGAAGGTTCTTTGATAGAATGAATTCGTGGATCTCAGTCCAGCTACAGCAGACAGGTCTCAAAACCAGCTAACTGTCCTCCTTTACTGGCATTCTCAACAGAGGGGCCAGTGGAGTGAAGGGGCCAAGGAGACTGAACTCCCTTCAGGCCCCTATAGAACATCCCTCACCATAATTGTTTGGATATGTTGCTGGGGAAGCTTGTGCTGCTGCCTGTTTAGTGAAGTGTAACTTTATACTTTTAGTATAAGTAAAGGCCTTCAGTCTCCCGGGGTTTCAGTCTGGCCGCTTTAACAAACATTACATTTGATTTAAAAAGCAAAACCAGGAAATCCTGTTTGTTAGCAACAGACTAAGTCATTACACTCCTTTTGACTTCATTACAGCGTGGTTTCCATTTCCCACAGCCCTTTATCTGGGAGCTGCCTACCCGCTGGATCACTTCCTTTTAATAAGACCTATGTTTCTTTCCATGGCTATTTTTTGTTCTGGTAGAATAATAAGCAGGACTAAGCGGCAGATCTGACCGTGAAGCTCTCTGGTAATCTCTCAGGGTGTGTCTGCATAGCAGCTGGGAGGTGCGATTCCCAGCATGGACAGTCTGGCACTAGCTCAGCTCAAGCTATTGTGCTATAAACAATGGTGTGGACATCAGGGTATACGGGGCGGTTCTAGCTAGGTCTGAGCTAGGTGGCTAGCCCACACTGCTGACTATGCTGCAATGTCAACACCGCTATTTTCCATGTGCTAGCTCAAGCTCTCTACCCACGCTGACAAGCACATCTCCCAGCTGCTATGCAGACACACCCTTAGTGATCACATCCCCATAGCACCTATTTTTTTCTTGAGTATTTTGGGAGCCTCACTGTTCTTGGAACTGTGTTTAGCCCTACATTCCTTGACAGCCCTAGATGGGACTGCCCCTCTGTCCAGGACAGGAGGAAGGATGTAAAGAGAAAGCACTGTAAATTATCCAGCGATTAGGGCACTAGCTTAGGACTCGGGAGATCTGGGTTTAACACCCTGCTCTGACACAGATTTCCTATGTGACCCTGGGCAAGTCATTTAGTTCCCCATCTGTGCAATGGAGATAATAGCACTGCCCTGCCTCACATGGGGGATGTGAGGATAAACATATTAAAGACTGTCAGGTGCTTAGATACTATGGCCATGGGGAACACACAATTATCAGAGTTGGACAGACAGGAGCTCCCACTAGAGACGGCTAGGGACCCTTCTGAACTGGCTCCTAGAGTGAAAGGTGTCCCCACCCTGTGGTCAGCGAGCAAAGGACGGAGTCTGGACCTTCTGATTACCCAGGCTGGCCACTTTCCGCACCATTTCACGGGTCAGCCTGAACTTGTGCACAGGTCGCCTTCCATGTTCTACTCCATCTGCAGAACTGTTGGTTTATTCCCACTCCTGATGCTGGTCTATCAAAATGATATTGTAACAGAAATCAAGAGCAAGGGTGCAAGTCCCTGCCTGCCCGTCCCCCAGTGAAAGCTGATGTGACCCAAGCTGCAGGCCCCTCATGCTGGCACCACCCAGTGAAGGGACTGCAGTGATCAAATCACCAACAATCCACACTGGGCCAGCAGCCTGAAGCCCACTAGCCCACAAAATGAGGAGGGAAGGGCCATGGTCAAGGAAAGGGTGTCACCAGGGCACTGATTCAGCATACTCCCTGGCAGCCTCCACAGTAGGACTCCTATGGACCCTGACCTGTTAATTAAAGCTGCTCCCATCATGGTACCCCTTGCAGAGAATGACCTGCCCCCCGTCCTTCCTAAGCACAGGGGACTGCAAACTGCAGCCCGGGTCTATTAATGCAGTGGTGATGCATATGACAAAAGGCTGCAGAATTATAATTTTTTCAATATTTATTTTAAGAATAGGGAATAATTTGAAAGCAAACTGAGCCCATGCTTCTGGTCTTACCTTCAGCCCTGGAACCTCTGACAGATGGTGGCAGGTACTTCATAGCAGGGCGACGTTTGCAATCTGCAAAGGGAAAGAGATGTGCTTTTTATGACTAATCCTAGTGTGATAGTCACGACTGCTTGTTGAGATCAGAATTGTAACTATATGTACCATGGCAATAGGAGTGGGCTTTAAACAGCTGCAAACCACCCAAGGGAAGAATTGCTCTTCAGAATAAAAGACCCCCGATGGAGAAAACAACAGGAGGAAAGAATTCAGAGTGACCCTGTAAAAGAGTTCCTGCTGGCTGCTGGAGTCATGGTTAATAGCAGTATGTGTGCTGCCTTTTTACCACTGACAATGGCCTATCTGGGCAAACTGAGATTGTAACCACCACCTTCCTGTGCAAGCTGATCTCACAGCCCTGCCTGAACTTTTCTTGCACCAGGACTTTAAGGCAGGTCAATACCACATCAACTCGCAGTGGCTTTTATACACAGTTTTGGGGAGATCTAACTTTGAGATGCTGGCTTCCATCCCGTTACTGAAGACCCCCTTTTCATGCTCCTCCACTCTAAACACAAAACACCTGAATAGTTCATTTGCAGATCACCACAACAGCATGTACCTATACTTTTTGACACCAACACAGCTCATGTCTGCTATTGTATTAGACTGCACTGTTGTTCTGCACTTCATAAGCACTGTATGCATCTGACAGGAGCATATAAGCTTGAGTTGGCAGTAATGCAAATGTGCAGAAACAGGAAGAAATAGAGGGTTATTATAATTCATAAGGAATTTATAATGAGTTTATGGAACTCTGACACCTTCTCCTCATTCAATACACACAGTTATCATGTGCCCATCTCTGGGTACCCAGAAAATGGCATATGATCTTATAGCATATGTGCATTATGGACTATTTACCCTTTGGTGCTGGGAGTCAGGATTTCTTAAGTGACTTGCTAATAGATTTCATATTACAGGTAACAGAGTGAGCTCCAGGTTTTGCTACTCCAAGGCATCAAAACTGAATAAAACCACTGTATGCAAAGTGATTTGGCTTAAGCAGGTCTGGCTGCACATTCCTTTCTATGGAAGGAAACCAGTAGGTTTACTACACAGATGCGTTAGTGCCAGCAAGTATCATTCATGTTTGGGGAGCCTTTGGCAACAGTGCCATCCATTTTCCATGAGCTCCTTTTCCTTTTGTTCAGAAGGAAATCCTAAACAAAGGATTCAGTGCATCACTGAGTTAGTCCCTAAGGAGTCTGTCTGTATAGGGACACCAGGTACTGGACTGTATGTCTGCTACTTTACATGTTGTCAAACCCTATAGAGGTTGACGGCTATCACGTGTTCTGTCATGTGATCAATCATTATGCAGCAGTTTATGAGATCACATGGATCCTTACAACTGTAGGGTGTGGAAGCTTGTCTAATGGGTGTGCGAGTGGTCAGAACAAATGAGTGGTTGTCATGATTCCTAGATTCTATTCCTGACTTTGTTACTGTAAGCCCTTCAGCATGCCATTTAGGCTCTCTGCATCTCCATGTCTGCGTATATAAACATGCAAAATGGCTATAATACTATTTACCTAGCTCATGGGACTGTAAAGGCTCTTTAGTAGTATAAAGTGCTTTGAGATCCTCAGATAAAAGGTGCAATGGGGGTGCAAAGTTGTGTTAGACTATTAGGGCCAAAACCTACCTCCATGTTCACCAATATGGCTTCCAGTGACTTTATTGGAGCCCCACACATGCACACAAGTGCAGAATTTGACCCTGAATTAATTTAATTTACTGTGTTTTTTATCCTGCTTGACGGGAACACACAGCAAAAAGGCTCCTTTGTCTGTGCTCAGTAAGCTGCCCACGGCCTGCCTAACTGCAAAGCCTGTTAACAGTAAGAACAACTCCTACCAGCTATGAACTCTTTCTCGGTGAAGAAGAGGACTGCCTGCCTGAAGGCCATCTCTGGGGTCAAGGCCATCACTCTCTGAAGGTCACTGGTGTTAGTGCTTGTCTTGTCTCCCAGCAGCGTCAGCTTCTTCAGGGTCTCAGCAAGAACCCCAAAGGCACTGACTCTCCGCAGCGCACAGATGAGAGCTGGGCTGGACATCAGCATATTGATGCTTCTTTGCCAGGAGGTATCTCCCACCTCGAAAGGGGTTACTTCTTTGGCCTGACTCCGAGTGAGACGGTGCAACCACTTGAGGCTCAGAAGCTCAAACCCTGGGTCAAGTCCTTCTGCAAGAAAAGAGAAACCTGTTAATTACTAATTGATAGCTTGTGTTTCCTAGAGGCTGTTCTCTGCTAGTGTCTTACATTCACACTCGTCTTATGATCTTCTTTAGCAGACAGGAACTTCCAAACTTGTTTGGTCTCCACTATCCCTCCCATCCACCAGGACGTGCAATGCAGGGTTTGGAATCACACTGGGCTAAAACTTAGTATATTCAAACAATACAACTTCTCGGAAGTTAAATGGCTAATAATTAGAGCCAGGAATGGGCTACCTAGGAAATAAAGAACCCTGTGCCACATCAGCAGAGACGCATGGAGATCAAGTGCCGCAGTCTGATTAAAGAAAGGCTTTAATGTAGAGCAGGTGAAAGGGACATGTTGGGAATACAATGATATTTAAGTGCTTTGATACAGCATAGTATATAATTATAGATATTGTAACTGCTCTGATAATGCTTCATTTTAAGGGATATTAATTATAGTAATCAACTCCATTGTAACATTGACTTGTCACTAGAATAACTTAACTATTGTTATGTTTGCAAACTAGGCTTGTTTTCTGTGTAGCAAGATGTTTGGAGGTTCAATACATAATTGTATGTTGCTGAGGTTACTATGGGCTAGATTCAGGAACCCTTGCACGCAGTGAGTAGTATCATATTCTGCGAGTACGCCCATTGGTTTCAAGTCTACTCTCGGAGTAGCGTGCTACTCAGTGAGACCCAGGCTGCCAGACTCTGACCCTATGTTAAGGAGTACTTTGTTTTTTACTTCATAACAATTTCTGTGCAATTAGTGCCAGTTAATAAAATAATCATACTATTTTGCTCTTATATAGCACTTTTCAGACATGCATTTGAAAGCACTTTACAAAGGAGGTCAGTGTCATTATCTCCATTGTACCAATGGGGAAACTGGGGCACAAAGCAGTGAAGTAACATGTCCATGGTCACACAAGAGGCTAGTGGCAGAACTAGAGTAGAACTCAGGTCTCCTGACTCCCCTGTTCTGTTCCCTATCCACAGAACCATCTTGCCTCCTAAATATGAGGGCTGGGCAAACTGGTTCGGATTACATATATGAGCTAGCCTGAACCTTAGCACATCCTTGAACTGATTCAAAACCTACTGCAGTCAAATGATGCCCATCCGGGCCAAGATCACTCACTAACATTCACAGACTCTTTAGGGAGATAAATAAATACACCTATCTACCTGATAGGGCCTGGGATAGAGTGTTAGAAGCTAGCAGGTGAGGCAGCACTCTGATCACTTAGGCATCAATCAGCTCCCCTGGAAAAGGCTAACTAGGGAGGTTCAAGCTAGTTTAGCTGCTCAGGCTGGAAGAGCTAATTAGTCCAGCAGCAGAGGCTATGAGAAGGACGCAGGAAGGACATACTGGGGGAGAGAGGGGGTAACCAGCGCCAGCTGAGTCCAGTGCGTGCAGAGCTTTCAAGGAAGGGAGACTTCTGTTCCTCCCTGGCCCTGTGGGAAAGGGCTAAAGGGAGAAAAGCGCTGTATTAGTGTCGGTGATGGGAATGTAAATAAATCACTCAGCAGAGAGAGTCTGAGAGGTTCTTGGGGCATCTAAGGATGGGGAGGAGTGGGCCCCGTTACAGAGCCCCTTTCACCACTTTTCCTAAATGAACTTGCTGAGTTAAGAGTAGCTGGATAGAATTTAGCTGGCCAAGGCCTACAAACCTTCCCCAAGAGAAGGAGTCACCTGGGTTTTGAGGTTGCTTCTGGAAGCCAGGATGAAGGATTTGGCAAAGAAGATGGCCAGCACTCTTCATGGCTTCCTTTCCAATCAGTGTCAGGATGACAACTTGTTCCATTTCAGGATCCGAGGCGTAGGTTCGGTGGCATAAAAGATCCAGAGGAACATTACACGAGTGTGGCACTGCACTGAGATTGCCTCCTGCTCAGAGAGAAGATCAAAACAACAAACCTAGTTATCCAGGGTAACAAACTTTCTCTTTCTCTTAGTGTGGAGGGATTGATTAATTCTCCAGAGAATAACAGAGCATGGGTTCTAAGAGTAGCTTCCTCCCAGATACAAAAGTAGGACGTAGGCAAGTGTCTGGTGACTGAGTCTCAACGTGGTCTAAAGCAAGGGCTTATCTGCAAAATATGAGCAAGTTTTGTTTCCAACAGTGAATCGTTCTCCAGCCCTAAAATCATCAGAGCTAGAAAGTCTGGATTGTGTTTTTAAACTGATGTCTAGATATTTATATTTGGTTAGGTCAGTGTCTTTTCTCTTTTAAAAATATCAGTGTCTATATATTTATTTTAACAGTGAGCAAAAATCAGCTGGTTCTTCAGATCACACGGGAGACAAAACTCAATTCAGAGCAATGATGAAGGCTGCAGTAAACCAACTTCTGGTTACTCAGTAGCTCTGCAGCATGGAACACCTTTCCCATGCTTCAGCTAGGCATGACCAGGACGTGCATAACAGTCGGAAATCCCTTGAAAGGAACTTTGCCGCATTCTACTCCTATCACTATTCAGTTCTTAAACCCAATTGTTAAGCAATTAGGACCAGTACTGGTTTATCAGTTGCTACTGGCACCAAGAGGCCAATTACAGCAATTAGGGATTTCAGCCCAGATCTCAAAGCCTTGGAGTTCAATGGGAGACAGGGGCCTAACTATCTTTGAGGAGCTGGGCCTTCATGTCCGCAGGTTGGACTCAGAATCTTCCTTCAGAATTCACCTGAGTGCACAATGGGTCAGTCCTGAAGCCCTTGTACTCTGGCAAAACACTTACTGAGTTCAATGGGGAGGACCAAGCAAAGATTCCAGGATCTGGCTTAAGATTTGGTTTTGATCACCATTCCCTTCACTTTTATACCAAATCTATTATCCTTCCTAGCTTAATGCTATTTAGAAATGGAATCCCCAGGAAAAATGTCCTTTTCTTTCTCTCCTTTATGCTACCTATTAAGATTTTACAGCCCACAATATGATATAAATTCTAATTGATAACACACACCTATTTTTTACTAGGGGAGCTTTTGACTCCCTAAAGCCAATGTATATGGCCTCATTTCTGATACCCAGTACAAATAAGGATAACACCTTACTAGTTGTCCCATTGGAGTCACTAACCAGCATTAGGAAAAGATCTCAGAGTACAGTGCTAAATATATTATTATTGACAATGAACCAAATCCTGAGGTTCTTGCTCAGGAAAATTCCCAGTAAAGACTCCAGGATCTGTCCCTATAATAGGCAAATCCTGGGTTCTGGATTAGGCAGACCTCAGCATCTTGCTCTGTAATCAGCAGAATCTTAGATTTTCCATCATTCTGACATACCCAGTGTCTGCAACAAGCTGTCAGTATAGGGAGTCACGTGAATACACAATGCAGGTTCCAGTTCAGCACTGGGAGGTAAGTTGCTTCGTACCTCCCCAAGGAGTCCTCGTTCTGCCAGTTCATTCATCAGTCCTAGGAACAGAACAATAGATTGTGTACGAAATATCACGCACAGCTATTTACGGTGCATTCTGTCAGAGCAAGACTCAGCGGAAATGCACGCCATCCTGCCATCTATCCTTGGCTCATATTTCCAAGCTCCTATTATGGAGATATTAATATGGGTCATGGCGAGTTCACGCAAGGAATATAAAACACAGTTTTGCAGCCTCACCAGCATGGTAAGCCACATTCATTTACAGCAGGATTAAGTAGCTGCTGGAAAAGCCTGGCTTGGCCATTACTTTTCTTAGAAAGATCTTAGCTTTGCAGCCAACATCCTAGCATTTTCAATTGACACCGACCCCAAGTTATGAAAAGAAACCACTCCAAAAAGAAATGACAAGTCTCTGTGTTCTGTTTCAGCCCTGACTGTCATTTGGTGTCTTAGACTAACTAGGATATATCATCAGGCACGGACAGGTTCTAGGAGTAGGATCCTAGTTGGCATACCTTGGAAAGGGGAATAGTATTGGAGAAGGAAAGGATTATTCCTTAGCAACACTGGACTTCTTCGTGGGGTCCTTGTAGCCAGCCTGGCATTTCCTGGTGGCCAGATGAAAGCTTATTTGACAAAACTGTCAGCTTTTCCACAGGTGGCTCTGGAATAAGCCACCAGTCCAGGTCAATTTAGAAGCCATGAAGGGTAGCAGGTGTGAGGTTCTGCGGGAGATGGAAGGTAGGCCCACGAGGAGGTTGATGCCTCTACACAGCTACCCGGCAGCTGTGATAAGGCTGGATGCATTATCACATAGACCCCATAGAGACAAACACCACAGGAAGCACCACCTCAGAAGGCCAGACTGACAGCTTCCCTCATGGCCCCTATTGGTCCAGGCACCCTATTTAAGCCCAAGAGAAGTTCCAGGAAGTAACGTGCAACTAGGTGGACTCCCCAGCCAGTTATAGTGTCTCACTCCCAGACTCCGACCCTGACTCGGACCCCGGGCTTCTGCCCTTGAACACCAAGTCCGATCCCAACCCCTGGCTTCAGTATTTGAACTCTGCCTCCCACTTGGACCCCTGGCTTTGGTATTTAGACTCTGAAATGGGATTTTGACCCCTGGCTTTGGCATCTGACTCTCGACCCATGCTCTCAGAGTCAGACACCAGCCCTGCCATAGGACTGATCCTCCAAGCCTTGGTTGTGACAGCACGAAAGAGATGTTTACAAAGTTGGTCTAAGGATTGTGGTCAAGTCTGGATGTTTTTCTACAATATCTGCTCTAGTTCAAAAAGGAATTGTTTCAGGGAAGTTCTCTGCCCTGATTTATGCAGGAGGTCAGATGAGAAAATCAGCCTTGATAGCAGCCTTCAACTACCTGAAGAGGGATTCCAAAGAGGATGGAGACAGGCTGTTCTCAGTGGTGGCAGATGATAGAACAAGAAGTAATGGTCTCAAGTTGCAGTGGGGGAGGTCTAGGTTGGATATTAGGAAAAACTATTTCACCAGAAGAGTGGTGAAGCACTGGAATGGGTTACCTAGGGCGGCGGTGGAATCTCCATCCTTAGAGGTTTTTAAGGCCCGGCTTGACAAAGCCCTGGCAGGATGGTTTAGTTGGTGTTGGTCCTGCTTTGAGCAGGGGATTGGACTAGATGACCTCCTGAGGTCTCTTTCAACCCTAATCTTCTATGATTTTATGATCACAATGGTCCCTTCTGGACTTAGAATCTATGAATTTTTGAGTGGCAATCTTTTACCTTTTCAAATTTTTCCTTTTGCCAATTTCTGCTTGGGTATATGAAAGCACTGTAAACACTGTGCATATTCTCAGTGACCTTCTCAAAGAGAAATATTTGCTCAAATTCCCTTAGAAAGACCAGGAACCACATTTCTTCAATGAGTAACTTTTCTAAGGAATTTAGGCAGAAAATGATTCAATGCTGTAATTAGTCTGCCATGATTAATCAGTCATGCCTGAGCATGTTTTCAGGGAGTGTGTGAGATACTCACTGGAGAAAAGGGAAAGAACCTTTTGCATTATCAAATCATTCTGAACCTCTAAATGTGTTTCCCGTTGTAACATCTGTGATTTATGGTTTTCCATTTTCAAGCATTATACTGTGCACTATAGAAAAGCAAGGCACTAATGGGAGGAAGAAGAATAATTCTCAAACTGGGGTAGTTAGTGAGAGGACACTGTAAAGCACCCAAACCCCAAAGAATAATGTACAGGGTCCAATCCTGCAGCGAAAAGGGAGTTCTGCCCAAGTGTGGGCTGGATGACTAGAGGATAACTATAGTGGACTAAAGAAGCAGTGAAGAACGGATGATGTGATTGAAACACAGGACTGAGTCAGGAGAACTGGGTTCTATTCCCAGATTTATTGTATGATTGTGCCCAAGTCAGTTAGCTGCTCCGTGCCTCAGTTTCCCCATTTGTTAAATAGGGATAGTAATGCTTTCCCTGAGGTTTAATTCGGTGTTTGTAAAATACTTTGAGATCCTTGGGTGGATACTGCTAGAGAAGGGCACAGAGGAAAGTTATTATTTGCCACATAGATACTCAATTAACCAGCTTCCAGGGTCCCTGCCTGAAAAGAAATTGAAAAGCTAATAAGTAAAGAACTTGCTGTGCACTGGACAAAGCCAGTCCTGATAGTCTGAGGGGCCAGCTCCTCGGCTAGTATAAATCAGCATCGCTGCAATGAAGGCAATGGAGCTATACTGATTGACATTAGCTGAGAATCTGGCCCAAAGCATATGCCTACCACTGCACACGTACACCAAGAAATACCTATGTGCTAAGAGACACGATTTTTAAAAAATAGGTGCCGTGTGAGGCTATGTCTGCACTTAAACCGCCACAGTGGCACCGCTGCACTACTATACACTTCAGTGTAGACACTCACTCCAGTGACGGGAGGGGTTCTCTGTAGTCAATCTTCCCCGACAGGCAGTAGCTAGAAGAATTTGGCCAAGGATTCTCTCCTGCTCTTTGGTCATGGGGCACACATCCCTTCTGTCTTTCTAGCTACTTATATGGCCCCATCACTATTCTATTCTATGTAAGTTCTCATACCACCATACTCATTCATCACCATACTACCTGAGCACCTTCAGTCATGCATTAAGCAACATGACTAATATCTATCATGTCTGTTCCCTCATCCTCTCCCCAAGGGGAGAAGCCTGTGTTGAGTCAGGAGAACTGGGTTTGGATTTTTTTACAGCAGATACATGTTGCTCTATGGTTATATTGGAGGAGGCAAAGTCAAAGAAATGCACTTGGAGCAGAAGGTCTGCGATGGTCCTTAGTTCCTTCCGCAGTCTGGGCCTGGCCCCTGAGAACGCTCTGTCAGCAGAGTAACTGATACCGTCCCAAGGATTTAAAACTAGAAAAACAATAACAATCCCCCCCTTTCTTCTCAGAATGTAGAAGGAGCACCGGGCATTGGTTTTTGCAGGTGGCCATATGTCTGACGAGTGGAGACGTGCACCTGTGTGAAGACCTTGCTGAGGGAAAGCCAAGTCAAAGAGACAAATTTTGAATATGCTGAGGTTCCTCAGCCTCACCCCTTGCAGGAACAAGAGCTGTTGTCCAGGCCTGGATCAAGTGCAAGTTCTAGCTCCTAGTCTCCCAATTTGTCAAAAGTTTAATTGTTCCATAGCTAGATAGATGTGGGACAACATGGTCACAGGGGGAGGGGTCTCTCTCATGGAGCTAAGGCCAAACCCTTGGAGGCCTTTGAATATCACGATAGAGACTCTGAACTGGACTCTGTTTGCCACTGCAGAGAGCCAGGGCAGTATGCTCACCTGCGCTCAACCTGTGTTGCTAAGCAGAAGGGCTGCTGCATTTGCAGCAGCTGGAGCTTTTTAAGCCAGGCATCTGGCTTCATGAATTCACAGCTACTTCATATGAAGACAGAGAACCTAGAGTACCGAGCACAAAAGCAATGACTCAAATGGATTTAGGGGTCAGAGTGGACAAACAGCTGCACATGAGCTTGCAGTGTGACACAGCGGCAAAAATGGCCAATGCCATCCTTGGACGTATAGACAGTTGAGTAGGAATATGGAAGTGATTCTATCTCTGTATGTGGCATTGGTGAGGACAATACCGGATTACTGCATACAGTATTTTAGAAAATTGGAGTGGGTGCAGAGAAGAGCCACAGAACTGAGTCAAGGGTTGCAAAAGAAGCCTTGCAGTGAAAGACTTAAGAAGCTCAATCTGTTTAGCTGATCAAAAAGAAAACTGAGATGTGACTTGGTTACGCTGTATCAGTACCCTCAAGGGAAGAAAATACCAGGTACTAACGGGCTCTGAAACTTAGTGCAGAAGTCCGTAACAAGAGCCAATGGCTGGAAGTTAAAGCCAGACAAATTCAGATTAGAAACAAGGTACACATTTTTAACAGTGAGGTGATTAACCACTGGAACAAAATGCCGAAGGAAGTGGTGGATCCTCCAACTCTTGCAGTCTTCAGTAAAGATTGGATACCTTCCTGGAAGAGTTGATTTAATCAAACACCAGTTATGAGGTGTAAAAACTGGGTGAAATCTTCTGCCCTGTGTTATACAGACTAGATGATCTAATAGTCTCTCCTGTCCTTAAAATATGAATTCCTAGGTATAGAATGAGTTGAAATAAACAAGCCTGGGCGTCACAAATAGGTGGATCACAAGGGCAAGGTCTGAATCGGATAGGAAGAGGCACTGTCTTCTGGCACAGTTGCAGATGGATACTTTTGGCCACCATGATTACCTGGGCAATGAGGAGTCCAAAAACTGAAGGCTAAAGACCAAATTACTGCATAGCTTGATTACCTGATACACAGAATGTGGATCTAATGGTGGTGGCTGATTCATATACAAGTCTGGTGGTGCATGCTACTTAGTGAAAGCTAAGGTCAAGCCCATATATTTTGAAAGGGTTTGACTGCAACATGGTGCTGTTAAATGAAGCTTTTCAGTCTGATGCACGCCCAAATACCAATGCTCTTCGCTGAGGGACCTGGGAAAGACTGGCATTACCTTTCACCAATGCAGGAACATGATGGCCAGCATTCTCCTTTCTCAGCAGTAAAATCAGACAGTGCAAGCGTGGCTCAGCAGGAGGTTCTTCTCTTGAGGATCTCTTATCAGGGGGACTTGAAGTCTTGTTAGGGCAAAATACAGCCATCTGAAATTACATAGGCCAACACTTCAACCCTAGGAACCTAAAGCTAGACTCCTAAGTCCATGTTTAGGTACTGTGACAAAGTTCCTGCTCTACCTTGGTGGGTCTTGCGCTTATTGGTGGATTTGCTCGCCTTGGAGCTTCACAGCAGCCCTCAGCTTGGCCGTTTTTCTGAACCCACAGTCCAGGTCGACTCCTCCTGTGTCTGACCAGGAGTTGGGAGGATTTGGGGGGAACCGGGGCCCGCCCTCTACTCCAGGTTCCAGCCCAGGGCCCTGTGGAATGCAGCTGTCTAGAGTGCCTCCTGGAACAGCTGTGCAACAGCTACAACTCCCTGGGCTACTTCCCCATGGCCTCCTCCCAACACCTTCTTTATCCTCCCCATAGGACCTTCCTCCTGGTGTCTGATAATGCTTGTACACCTCAGTCCTCCAACAGTCCGCATTCTCACTCTCAGCTCCTAGTGCCTCTTGCTCCCAGCTCCTCACACGTGCACCGCAAACTGAAGTGAGCTCCTTTTTAAAACCCAGGTGCCCTGATTAGCCTGCCTTAATTGATTCTAGCAACTTCTTGATTGGCTGCAGGTGTTCTAATCAGCCTGTCTTAATTGTCTCCAGAAGGTTCCTGATTGTTCTGGAACCTTTCCTGTTACCTTACCCAAGGAAAAGGGACCTACTGAGCCTGGGGCTAATATATCTGCCTTCTATTACTCTCCTATAGCCATCTGGCCCAACCCTGTCACAGTACCTATTTAAAAGTGATTTAATTTGCAGGGAAGCTGAGCATCCACAGATCCCATGAAATCAAGGGGAGCTGCTGGTGCTCATCACCTCTGCAAATCAGGCCATTTGTATTTCAATGCTGCCATGTGGATTTAGGAGCCTTACTTCACAAGCATTTTGGACATAGTGTTATTTTTTTATTTGATAAAGTGTTATGAAGAAGGAAGATGGTTCTTCTTCAGATCTGAAGAAAAGCAGGTGGTAAACAAGCTCCTTGTGCAGAGTTTTCTTGGTGAACCAGGAAGTGCCCCACTCTACAGTCTCAGACCCCTCACCCTGTGCAACACATGACTTACAAAGGGCTGTCTCCCTATGCAAGGAAAAGTCTCACTCACTTCACTGGCTGTTGTGCTAATATGAGGAGTACAGACCTGGGCTCATTTTTGTCTTTCTCGGTTTGATTGGAAGCCCTGTTTTAATGATTATTATCTCGGTTTCCTTGGACTGAGATTTGACAATGCCAAATGCATACTCATTCAGCTGCATCCGATATAATATTACACATAACATCAGATAAAAAGCTTGCTGGTTGGCACCATGATAAGAGAACCCTGACAATCTATATTAATACATGCTATTGGGAGATCTCTTTGTTCAGACAGGTATTAACTTATGAGAGAGATGTGAAGAAAAAATGGTTACTCACCTTCTCGTAACTGTTGTTCTTCAAGATGTGTTGTTCATGTCCATTCCAATCAGGTGTACGCACGTGTGTGTGCATGGCAGCCAGAAAACTTTTCCCCTAGCAGCATCTGTCAGGTCGGCCTGGGAGCCCCCTGGAGTCACACTGGGTACTGAGACTGGTGCCTCACAGAAGATTGTCTATGGGTGGAGCTGTGGTGGTGCCGTGACTGCTTGTGGTCCTTTCTTGGCACCGAGGAGGAGGTGACGGGTGTGGGATCTGCTGAGCCTGGGTTGGATTGTGGCTGGACTGCTGCCTCCATGAGAAGGATCTTGAGTCTTTGCTCCCGGTCTTTTAAAGTCCTAGAGCAAAACCCTTTGCAAATTCTGCTCCTCTCCTTCTGGTGGCTCTCCCCGAGACACCACAGACAGGAAGAGTGTGGGTTGCTCTTAGGTATACATTTTCCACAGTCCTCACAGAGTTTGAACCCTGGGGACTTGGGCATACCCCAGTGCTGGGGGGGTGTTGTTTGTGGGGGGGACCCCAAAAGGAAACTTATGACCTAACTACTAATACTAAACTAACACTAGTAACTACTGAGAACTAACTATAAACACTAAGAGTGGACACTGCCCAAACACGCTTGCAAAGCAAGAGCAACATGTTGTTCCAGCTAGCCATCACTGGTGGTAAGAAGGAACTGAAGGGGTGGTGGGTTGGCAGGGATGTATATTGAGTGCCATGAAGGTGCGACTCCAGGGGGCGCCTGGACTGACCCGACAAATGCTGCTAGGGGAAAAGTTTTCTGGCTGCTGTGCACGCACACGCGCACACACCTGATTGGAATGGTCATGAACAAGCACTCGAAGAAGAACTATGAAGTTATGCAGTCACATATGAGGAGTATCTCCTGATGACACATTCATTGATTAAAAATCATTTTACAGTGATTTTTTACAGTTAGGGCCCAATCCAGCTCCCATTTGAAATCAACGGCAAAATTCATATTTGACTTTCACAATGGCACAATCTGGCCATTAGTGTTCTCTGCTGCCAGGAAGGATGGGGCTTTAATGGGATTTTCCAGCACAAAGGAAATTCAGCTCTGAAAGCAACTGGAGGTGCCACTCATAGCAAAAGAAGATGATGTCAGAAAGATGGGGAATCCTGGGTGCAGGCTGGCTGGCAAAAGGGTAACAAGAGTGAGAAAACCACAAAGCAAAGTTCACCCAAGGATGAAGCAAGGGTGAAGCATGCTCGTCGCTATAAAAAACATGATTTCCCTTAGTGAGTGCAAGCTAATCCGAGGCCCATTTGGCTTTGTGTGGATTAGTAAAATGGCACAGCACCTATTCCACCAGCCTGGTCCACCTCACAGAGCTGGATTCACTGGTGGCTGATTTGACCACTCTGCTGAGAAAGTCAGCATTGCTGACCATCTCTGGGATTCAAATAGCGTCAGAACAATGTGTTAAAATATTTGTCCCCTTTTCAGAGGAGATGCTATTACCGTACTAATGTAAAAGTAGACCCTGTTCTAAACTGGGATTACTAATGCAATCATTTCACATTGGGACCAGCTGTTGCAACAGGCACATAAAGTAACACTGCTTCTTCATTATGAGTCTTGCATTGTTAACCTGAGGCCTGCAGGAGTGTGACTTTAAAAACATTGTCATCTGGGATGAAAATAGGGTGACCAGACAGCAAGTGAGAAAAATCAAGACGGGGGTGGGGGGTAATAGGGACCTATATAAGACAGTCCTTAATATGGGGACTCTCCCTATAAAATCGGGACATATGGTCATCCTAGATGAAAATGAGCTGACTGTAACAATTGCATCATGATATTCTGACCTTATCTCACCATGTGGCAGCATCATGACACAACATGTAAACATCATGACATAATCATATTGCACCAGCCACACAGATATTTTGGGGTGCTTTCACTATCCTGAGAGCCCGGCCTGCAAGATGTTGGACAGTCATGTCAAAATCAAAACCACTGGGGTTGGAATCAGACTAACCCATTGCAGCTACATTGTAGGTTTTAGCAGGAGCACTAATGGATATGGCATTCAGGATCTGGGAAAGCATTATTCTAGTGACCCTCTGTCCCATACCTGACTTGTTGTCATGCTGAGCATGATGGCTCGCTTGGGAGAAAGTCGCAGCTGCCTGATTCCCTGCAGAGTAAAGCCTCTCTGAGTACAGGTTGAAATCACATCCCCGTATGCATGAGGAGGCACAGCAGGTGACACAACCAAAATGACATCCCCTGGATCAAAGTAAAGATGAGAAGAGCATCAAGTTATTTTTGTGGAAACTATTCCATCTCTGCAGGAAACCTGATGAAAGTGGCCAGCCCCAACTTCCAGACCAACACAGATGATGACACTACATTCTGTGGAAAGCACTGTTCTTGAGCCAGCTTAAGTGTAAGTGGGGGAATAGTCCCGCTATTGTAGGGAACTTTCCTGGCTTCTGCACTACCCCGGTGAAGAGGGCGAGCGAAAGGATCTGAGTCCTCGCTCCCACTTCCTTTACCCAGTGGCCTCCCTGCTCTTGAGGACTCTCCTTCCAATCTCCTGTCTGGCAGAGTCCTCGTAACCCCAACAAGGCTGGGCCCAGGATTCCTGGGGGGTTCGACCCCCAACCCTGCTGTGGTCACCTAGGACAGGGGCTAGGGTGTCCCCACTCCAGGGTACTCTCTCTGCACTGGGAACTTCTCTGACCCACTGACCATTACATACAAGTTAAAGCAAATGCAAGTTATTTAATCAACAATTAATTTTAAAAAGAATAATAAAAAATGGAAAGGTTAAAGGAAACATGTCAACCCGCTCTGTGCCAGGGAACATCACAAACAGTGTCTCTGGAACATCAGGGCAGTTCACAGTCTGTTCCTTGTAAGTCCAAGGTCTCCCTCTCAGGCTCTGGCTGTGCTGCAGGGACGCTGTGGGTTGGACACTTGCTCTGGTGGTGGCCACACGCTCTCAGGCTCTAAGTGGTAGGACCTTTCTTCCCGGTGTCGCCCCCGCCCTGTCGGGGTTACGATCCAAGCCTGGCCTGCAGAGCCCCTTGACTGAGGCGTCTCCCTGTGCTGGGCCTGCTGCCCAAGGTCCCCCTCGCTCTCCCCAACTGCTCACCGCACCCAGCTCCAGACTGCTCCAGCCACAGCTGCACCACTCTGTCTCTGCACTGCTGCTGCTGCTCTGCCTCCAGCTCCCTGGGCTGCTTCTTTGGCCCCTCTGGCTCTGGTTGCTACAGCTCTGCTCCCAGGACAGGTCTGCTCTGCAGGCTGCTTCTGTGACTCTGCTCCCAGCACTGACCTGCTTCCTGAGCTGCTTTTCTGGCCCCTCTGGCTCTGGTTGCTGCAGCTCTCCTCCAAGGGCAAGTCTGCTCTCCTTGGGCTGTGCCTCTGGCTTTGGGGCTGCAGTTCTGCTCCCAGGACAGGGTCTGCTCTCTCTGGGCTGCTTTTCGGGTCCCTCTGGATCTGGCACAGCTCTGCTCCCCAGATTAGCTTGGACCCCTACTTTCTTCCTAGCTCGACCTCACTCTGTCTGACCCAGACAATGCCAGCTCACATGGAGGACGGGACCTCCCTGTCCTCCTGACTCCCTGATTAGCCTGCTCGCCCTGTCATTCAGGCTGACCTGGACCATTGGCCTCTCCCCATTGTTCCTGGGGGCTGTCAGTCTCAGGGTCCTGATTCCCCATCGACCCTTCGCCCTTTTTAGTACTGGGAGCTAGCCAACCAAAACACCCCCACTGAATGTTAGTAAGGGGGCACAGTCCCCTTACATAAGGCTGGTAGTGGATTAAAAGAACCAGAGGGAAGGTGTGGAATCCAGTGGCCGGGCCACAAGGGATGTGCTGGAGAGGATCACCCCTTGACAGGGTGTGACTAGCTTATTCCAAGGCAGGCTTCCAGAGAGCTCAGTGAGGGAGCACAGTGGCTCCTCTTGCCAATACTCCTGCATGCTGTCCCCTCCCAGAGAAGATCTTCAGCTTCTCTTCCAAAAGGCATGATGCACCACCCATCCGTTTGAAGAGCAAAGGTTGGATACAACTTCCTGAGCCCAACAACCACAGATGGAACCATAGCAGGGGGATGGGGGGGGGGGGCAGCTCAGCAGCCTACATCACATGTGAATCATCAGTGGCCATAAAAAGATAGGGAAGCAGGAAATCTGGCTCAGCCCATCAGCAACAACCACCACCTGCCATCATCCCCACCCCGGAACGTACAGAGCGGAGGGGTGTCTGCCAGAGGAACTTGCTCAGATGCTAGTGTTAACATACATACTTACACTGAATGCATTTAAAAGGTAGGCCTCATCTTTTCTTGACTTTTATCTTCCTTCCTCTCATTCTGTCCCTCACTTTCCCTTCCTCTCTCATCTTTCTGGCTCCTGTTTCCATTCTCCCCTCCAATCCGCTTTTCTTTGGCAAATTAATTTCCTCTTCCTCTTTTCTATGCCAGAGCATCCTCTTCCTCTCCTGTCCTTACTGTCTTCTCACTGCTGGTTGGAGGGCTCCTATACCCCTCAGTTCCTCCCTGAAGGGCTACCCTTAGTGCCAGGGAGCAGAGGAAGGTCAGCAGTGCTCTGGTGGCAAAATCTTAAAACCACTCCTTCTTTAGACAGGTTTCAGAGTAGCAGCCGTGTTAGTCTGTATCCGCTAAAAGGAAAGGAGTACTTGTGGCACCTTAGAGACTAACAAATTTATTTGAGCATAAGCTTTCGTGAACTACAGCTCACTTCACGAAAGCTCATGCTCAAATAAATTTGTTAGTCTCTAAAGTGCCACAAGTACTCCTTTTCTTTTTTCCTCCTTTAGAGAGGGCAGAAGGATTTGCTGTCCCTGACCCCACTAGAGGAGGCCACAGGGCCCAATGGCTCATCTACCTCACACATTCTCCTCCTGAGCACAGATTTCCCAGGAAGACAGGCTCTCTCTGTTCCCACTTCCTAGCTGGCTGTCACTCCTGTATAGGGCTACTGGAGCAACTTCTCAGCCAGCTCTTTAGGGGGAATACAGAAAGTGGGAGCCTACACCTGCAAGGAGGAGTGGGGAACCTGGGAAGGGAGAGGAGCAATGCAAGAGCCAGTTAATAGGAGCTGCTCCCTGTGCATCTTTCCAGATGACTGGTTGACCACCTCGTCCCCGGCCCTAGAAAGGCCAGGAACATGCATGTGGGATTGTTTGAACTATTTAACTGCACTACCTATGTGATTATATCCCAGGCTGTGAAGAGGACAGGCAGATGGTGTGATGCTCTGTCCTTGCCTCCGTGGGTCCCACGTTTCCTGACGGATTTCGCTAGCCTCAGAGGCTCACTGTGACCCTCCACGTAACCCTTCTCTCTCTAGAGACAAGGGTCACAGTCTACTGAGCCATTTTCATCATAAGCCAGCAAGGTGAGGAGAAGTTATCCTTCCTTGCACGGTCTCAGTTGTCTCCCAGTCTCAGTGATTAATCAGGGGGCAAAGGGTGCGGGAAGCCCAGGCCCACCCTCTACTCCGGGCTCCAGCCCAGGGACCCTAATAGTATCAGCTATGGTAGCTGACCTTTTAGAAACATAACATGTACAATTCCCTGGGCTACTTCCCCCACAGCAGCCCTCACTTCCTCAAGCTCCACTTCACCCTTACCTCAGGGCCTCCTTCCTTGTGCCTGATATGATATGTACTACTCAGTCTCTCCAACAGCGCAGCTTCCTCCCACAGCTCCTGACATACGCGTCCACCTGACTAACTGGGAGGCATTTAACTAGTTTCAGCCAGCCCCTGATTGGCTTCAGGTGTCCCAATCAACTAGCCTTCTCCCTGCCTTCTGGAAAGTTCTTAATTGGCCCCAGGTGTCTTAATTGACCTGGAAGCAGCTACCATTTCACTTATCCTGGTACCAGAGATTTGTTTAGCCTGGAGCCAATATATCTATCTCCCACTACTTTTCTATAGCCATCTGGCCTTGCCCTGTCACATTAGGTAGATATGCAATTCAAGGACACGATTAACTCCCATAGAACTGTTCCTTCACTAAGTAGGTCCCAAGAATAAAGGGTTTCCTGTTTTAGATTTCCTCAAGCATGGTCTAGGAGGCCTGTTGTGACAATTGGACTTACAAAGTGTATCCCTGTGAGCTCAAATGTAAAAAGTATTTGAAAGTTCATAAGATGTTACATTAACCATGAAAAATAGATCAAGTTGTTTACAACCCTGAATGTTGTAACAAGTGCAAGAGAACCAGACAGACAAAGAAGATGGATTAGGCTAAACCAGAAAGTCCATGTTGATATAATCCAAGGAACTGCTGAAATTATGCTTTGTAAAAATAGAAAATATGAAACCAGAAGTTAATAGACCAAAATTGGTGTAATGGATATTAGGTGTAATTGGTGGATAAAATAATTAGGGGGATGAATTATGATGCCTACTTTCCCCCTTTGTGGGTTTTTTAAAAAGAGATTTTGAAAGAAGACATGTTCAGATCAGTTCATTTCAGCTCTCCCTCACATATACCATCCCACTTTGCATCCCAGCTCATCCCCAAAAATGCCAGCACTTCAATTCATCTCAGCTCATCTAAAGGATTTTCTTCCTGAGAGGAAGGCCGGCTGGCCGTAATCTTGTTCAAGGAACTTGGTTTTCAAGCACGTAAGATCCTGCATTGTTTTCCATTCCCTTATGCTATTTTCTGCTCCCCTCCCCCTTTCTTTCCTTCTATCCTTTCTCTCACTCTCTTGGCTTTTCATCAAATCCTGAAGTCAACCATGCTGTATTCATCCAAGCCTGCCTTGTCTAAGAAGAAAAGATCCAATTAGATGACGTCACTGACCAGATCGTAAACCAGGATCCAAGCAGCATGTGTTGTGGTCGACTTGCCAGCCAAAAGCATCCACTTGTAACTAACCAGCAGGCCAGTGTTCCAAAAACAGCAAGAGGAGCTATATCTCACCCATCTTTTCTATTCTGTCTCTTCTCCACCATGGGTCTGTTTGCTTGTTAAGAACAGGAAAAGTAAATGACCTGGACACATCAGGACTGAGAGTAAAAAATCCCTCTTGTTTTCATCAAAGAAAGGCTGTTCTGAAAATAAGAGACTCTGATATTTTGCCTTAAAAAGGAGAAAGGATTTAAAGGTTTTGACTAAGTTTGTTTTGCATAATCATTCAACCACAGATCCAATCTAAATGCCTGTTTTGATATCTTATTCTTTCTAATCAATCAATACATTTTTAATTTGAATGAACACTTTTGGGTGTTTGCCATGTAACCAAGTAAAACCAAGGCCTCTGTTTAAAATAACCTGAACCTTCCTATCATTGTTTAATGTTGGACAGTGGAAGAGTTTATAAACACTTTAACTCTTTAGGCTTTGAGATCAATATCCCTACAACAGCGTCTAATAGCTACTCACATGAAGCGGACAAGGAAGGCCATGACATTCTACTGTTGCTTCACATTGGGCAAGAAGCACTACATGTTCCACAAACTAATTCCTGACTCTTGTCCCCCTGGCCAGGACCCAGCAGTGAGGAGTGCAATGGGAGCAGGACCACATGAACATGTGGGGCAGGAGTAAGATAACCAATAACACCCTCTGCTATAGTGAAGGAGCCTGGAACACGTGTGAAACATCAAGGTTTGCTCCTTAGAAATGACCTTTGGTGGTCGAGACCAGTGTTGCTGGAGGTCTGGACAGTGCCATGTCCTGGAGATCAGCTCTCTCTTGGTCAGCATTTACTCTATTAGATGAAGAACTCTGAGGTCTAAGGAAAAACAACAGAAATATTGAAAGCTGTTAAGATTAGACCCAGACGTTGGCACTTATCAGCTTTGCCCACTAACCCCAAGGAGATGGAGGCTGCTTTTGTAAAACTGCTTTACTGGAAGTGCCACTTCAATCCCGTCTGTGACATCAGAGCATGGGCCACCTTAAGGCGTATTGAGTTTGTACACAGACTGGATGTTTTTCTACATTGCAGCTTCTCTCTCCAGCTCTCTCTGTTCAATTAAAAGTGGCTAATGCAATGCGGTCAACTTGGCAAGAAAATTTAGGAACTGAGAAATGTTGGGCCATATCTCAAATATTCTTCCCATCCTGTGATATTTTAAACCTGCTACTCACTGGTGAATATTTAATCAGACGGTAATTGGGGAGAAGCACTTTCAAAGCTATTATAAACTGGGCCTGGCAGTGATGCCCAAGGGCAGTGAAATATCCAATATTCCTTCATTCCAGAAAGGAACAAATTATGGCAGGGTGAACCCAAATTGTGGTTTCAAAGGCCAAGGGACTGACAAAAATGCAATCTGTAATCTGGGAATCACGTGGCCAGGCCTGCTAAACACAGACTGCTAATGCAAGCCTGCCTGCTTACCCCCTTCCCTTGAGATGTCTTGAATCCACAGGAGGATGGCAGTAAGAGATGTTGGTTTTCCTGAGGAACTGAGCTTGGAGATGGAGTTTATACTCTTCCCAGCTAAGCCCTCCTATTGGACCAAACTCTTAGCATTGTTTCGCTATGTTACACTAAAGTAACAGGGTTTCCTCTTGGTAAGGGGGCGAAGGACCCCTAATAAAAAAACCAAACTTTGTCAAAGGGAATTTTTTAGAGTTTTAAAGCCAAACAACATTAATTCAATTCAGTGTTAAAGATCATGCAGAGCTAAACTCTGCCAAATAACATTACAGGAGGAAACAACCCGCAATGAGAAAGGGAATTAACTCTGAGTGGCTGCAATTTGCTTCAGTGCAGAGAGGCTGCACGAGGCCCATGTGCTGTCTAATCCCCATCCTGGTGCCACAGCAATAGCTCTACTTTCACAGCTTCAGAAGGGATCTTTCAGGGCTTACATGGGACTTCTGGAATCAGGTGAACCTCAGCACAGTGTAGTTCAGCAGGGTAACATTAAAAGGAGCCAACTCACCCCTTGTATGGAGAAACCCAGGAAGCATCTGAAGAATGGGTGAGTTTCACCTCCTAGCTGCTCGCTCTGTTGGTGGCTGCCTGCTCTGTGTCCCACTCCCCAAGGAACAATCAGAGGGATGTGGCTCCAAGAGACCATTGCGTAGATAGGGGATGTGCTCTGCTCCCCACCCCAGGACATTCTTAGTGATGCTCTTCTATGGGACTGACTCATGGTCATGATATACCTAGCATGTCCTGCCGTTTAAACACACAGGATTGAAACTGTTTCCCCACCTCTGGCTGTTTGTGTCTGAGACTTTGTCAGGGAATCTGCAGGACAGGGAGGGAAGTGGACATTTCAGGCTGGGAAACTGTATCCATCCTCATCAAGAGCAAAGCTACAGAGATCACTGCATGCAGACTGCTCAGGAAGGGTGCAATGGCTGCAACCTCAACTCCTCCCCCCTGCAGCAGCAGATATTTTTTTGTGGAGGGCTGGAGAGCAGGTTCCTCAGGGAGCAGAGCAGGACCCATTATCCTTTTTCTGTTCCAAGCTACCCTGCCGAATTGCCTTCCCTTTCAGCAACTCTACTCTGCTAGGTAACAGATTGCAAGCTAACATCAGTGTTATACACAAACTGAGCAGGAGAGGGTGTTTAAAGAACAACCTCATGTTCAAGCAAACACCTGATCTGAACTGCCCAAGGAACTTGGAGTCTTGACATCTCTACTGAGCCTGTGTGGTCCCAGTGCCACGTGGCAAACTGTTGCTACACCATCAGGATAGGTACTTTGAGGTTTAAGGTTGAATCCCTTTTGGAGTGGCCCTATTCTCCAGGGTAGAGTTTCCAGTGGGCCTCCTGTCACAATGTCTCCATCATCTCAAATAAGTCCCGGTCCCACTATCATTCGTCTCCTCACACTAATCACCAAGGCTAAAGGCCTTCTCAGCCCCTCCATTTTCATACACTCTTGCCAGTTGCAGAGGATGCAGCATGGTGAGGGAAGGAACAGACCAATTTTGCAAACACTAATAGTAACACATTGTAAAATGCAGAAATAGACTAGTGCTCCCAACCAGCACTGCCTCTAGCTGGGCCCCTCTGCTGAGGACTGCCGTGAAAAGACTTACAAAACTAGCTAATGCCCCTGGGGTCTCTTCAGTGGTCCAAGTCCTGCACCCCACACTCCTCGCCCCACCTCCACTAGAATTACAAAAAGAAAAGGAGTACTTGTGGCACCTTAGAGACTAACCAATTTATCTGAGCATGAGCTTTCGTGAGCTTTCGTAATAGACCAGCAGGAGAGTGAGTTTGTGGGGGGGGGGCGGAGGGTGAGAAAACCTGGATTTGTGCTGGAAATGGCCCAACTTGATGATCACTTTAGATAAGCTATTACCAGCAGGACAGTGGGGTGGGAGGGGGTATTGTTTCATGGTCTCTGTGTATATAATGTCTACTGCAGTTTCCACGGTATGCATCCGATGAAGTGAGCTGTAGCTCACGAAAGCTCATGCTCAAATAAATTGGTTAGTCTCTAAGGTGCCACAAGTACTCCTTTTCTTTTTGCAAAGACAGACTAACACGGCTGTTACTCTGAAACTAGAATTACAAGGATCTTAGAAATGGGCAGTACGGGATTGTCACCTTGATTTGTTATATTTGCAGGCAGGATTCTGGACACCAACATGAAGCACCTCATCACAGCATGCTCTTCCTCCGAACAAGAGGCACAGCTCCCTGTGCACACGGCTGCCTGTGTGGGGCAGGTAGGCGAGGGGCTCGGCTTGGCTCCTGCAGTAGATGGCATTGATGGAGCCGCAGTCTGTCATGCTGGCTAGCTGTGGATCCGAGGGCCCTATGATATCTTGCAAGGCGCTCCGTGCTTTTGGCCCTCTCAAGCCTAAAGCCAGCACAGGTGGTGCCTTGCCAGCCTCTGGAGTGTAAGTAGAAGGCAGCTTGTCTGTGAAAGATAAACACGTGTGACTAACGCATGGAATCACCCTTTTCCAGTCTCATTCATTCCACTCAAGGTCTCTTCTCAGTTCATTACTCAGCCTAGATGACTGACAGTTTATTAGTGCTGTCTCTAGCTCCCCTTCCACATTTGCCAGGCTAACAGCTGTTTCTCATTGGGTCTCTGCCCACCTCTGAAGGCTCTTGCTTTGGCACTGCTGGTTACACTGGGAGATCAGAGCTGCAATCTCTTCCCATTCCTAGGCAGGGTCCGGGTGCCTTGCAAATAACACACGAAAGCCCAGGTTCTCCCACTGGTCGGCAGCTCAGGGTGGGAGGAGAGAAGCGAGGAATGACCTCGAAACAGCAGAAGGAGATGGGGTCCCTTCTGGCCTGGTCCCCACTCCTGCTGAGCCCTCCACACAAACATGCCTAATTAGGGCTGGCTCCATGCGGTTTGGGGAGCCAGGGGGTGTTGCTGCAGCAGCAGGCTCCTGTCAAACCCAGAGGGCCAGATCCTCAGCTAGTGAAAATTGGAACAGCTCCATTTAAGTCACTGATAATTTTTGCCAGTTCTGCCCTGATAATTTTCCCAACGGCAACCATCATAGTAGTTAATGCTGCTAAGTCTGCATGACCACACGCTGGAGATTCTGCACAGATATGCAAGGCTGAGTGAGTGGCTCTCAATGAAAGCCATCGAGTCCCAAAGTTCACACTTCGCTCAGAGAGGCTTGGTGGGGTTCAAGTGTGGGATAGAATTTGGGCCAGGGGACAAGGTTGTTTCCTGGTCCTTTCCTTAGCAACAGGAGAGCCAAGAGGGGACCCCAACTGGGAAACATGAAAGCTTTGCCAAAACTCCATGCAAACTGTTTACTCTCCCTGGTCAGGATCTGTGCTGCGTGGGAAAGGAATGACAAGGAATGACATTTAAAAAAAATGCTTGACCATCACTTCTTTCTTTCCCTGCTCTGGGCTCCCTTATTTCTTGCCACAGAGAAGGACCCACAGGAGACCTCTCTCCTGCACTCTGTGGCAAATCCTTCTCCAAGCTCACAGCCTGCATGGCTGGAGATAGCTAGGCAGAGGGCAGGAATGGAATCCACTTTGCTTCTCCACTGAACCCACTGCAGCCATTGGCCAAGGGGGGACTGAATACCTCCTCCTCAGCACTGGGGTTTAGATGCATCTAGAGTCAATGTATGAGGCTAGAAGGGAGCATCAGATCGTGTAGTCTGACCTCCTGCACATCACCAGCCACTGAATCTCACCCAGTTACCCTGTTTTGCATCCAGTGAACTGGATTAGCTTAAAGTATTATAGCCCTTTGGAGACTAAACTATTAGAATCACAGAACCATAGGGTTAGAAGGGACCACAAGGGTCATCTAGTCTAACCCCCTGCCAAGATGCAGGATTTGTTGTGTGCCACATGCAGAGAATAGGAGGGATCAAGGTGCACCAGTGTCCAAGGCCCCTGTAATGGCAGGGAATTGAGTTAGTGAGATATACCCAGATGAACTTAGCAAGCAACTTGTGCCCCATGCTGCAGAGGAAGGCAAAAAACCCCAAAGTCATTGCAATATGACCTGGGGAAAAATTCCTTCCCAACCTGAAATTCAGGATCAGTTTGATCTTGAGTATGTGAACAAGACCCACCAGCCAGGCATCTAAGAAAGAGAATTCTCAGTACCATCTCAGGGCACTGGCAACCCTGTCTAGTGTCCCATCTCCAGCCATGGCCATAACTGCTGAGGAAGGAGAAAAAATGAAAACAAACCCAGAACACATTTTGGGGAAAAAATTCCTTCCTGACCCCTGCAGGAGACTGGCTGAAATCCTGAAGCATGAGATTTAGGAACTGATGACATGAATTCATGCAGATGAAATGGAATCATGACCTCAGGCACTATAGAGCATGTAAATAAAGGAGAAAGTTGCTGAAAATATTTTAAACCAGAAATATATTTGTATTTTTTTCAAGATTCAAACAAAGTTCAATTTTCAGACCTGTGTTGTGGATCTCAGCTCAAATATATCCTCCCTCCATACACAGCGCCCCCATAGCATGCACAGAGAGCAAAGCACTGGGGGCAGATCTGCTGTATGGATCAGAAAGCAGAACTCTGCTCATCTTCTGTTGTTGGTTGATGATTTTATGGCTTTTTTATTCACTTACAAAGCTCTCCATTCACTTGTACCAACATATTACATACCTACTGCTGAGACAACTGAAGCAAAACCACAATTATGAGCCAGTCTGGGCCCACTGTTTTCAGATGTGACAAGGCAGCAGGGAGACTGCAGAATTTTTCTCCGTGATTGAGCAGGTCTAGACTGAATTTCCACCCAGCTGAAAAGAACACGTTTCTCTCCCTCTCAGTCTGCCAATATCCCACCCCAAGAGAAATAGAGTATGAGTATGTGACCTGATGTTACACACAGGACTTCTAGGAGAGCTAGCCTGTACAGACACAATCCCAGAACTTTGCAGTTACGTGATGGCTTCCATTCTAGGATCTTCAAGGGCTTAAGATATAATTAAGCCTCGCACACTCCCTGGGAGGTGAGTTTTATTATGCCTGATTTACTAATGGGGAAACTGAGGCACTGAGCAGCTAAGGCTGATATTTACAAACATGAGTGCCTAATGCTATGTATTTAGGGCCAGATCCTCAAAAGTATTTATGCACCAACCTCCCATTGAATTCAATCAGAATTAGGCACCTAAGTACCTTTTAGGATCTGGGCCCAAGTGTCTAACTGCAGGCATTCATGTTTGGCTTTACTGTTGGTGCCTCATTTTCTCTTCAGTGCCCCAGAAGTTAAAAGATGTGGCAGAAGCCACTTGACAAACCATGACATTCTGGATGGTGGATCACCCTACAGAGCAGTTGGAGAAAGGCCAGGTCAGCAGCCCCAGATTTTGCAGTTTCCTGAGCCTCAAAGAGAAAAGTTGGGGCTGCCATCTACAGAGAAATAAAAGCCAGAGAGAAAAGCAATGTGGTGACATGAAGAGTATCAGGGAGTAAAAATAGAGGAAATGGCAAAAACTTGCCAAAACTTTACACCGGGGACGGATAGATGGGGACAGGGTAAAATCTGACTCCAAAGGGGAAGAGAAAGGCTTAATTGTGGTCATGCTCATATCCCCCTTGAAGTCCTCTTCCTTTTCAGCAGGGATGTGCAGGTTTGTGAGCTGCTATAGTTAAATGGGTGCAACTTTTTTATGCAGATGAGGCCTTACCTGTGCTAGAGAGCAGCACGCTGTGCTCGGGATAGAGCAGGCGGAGCCCACAGATATCCAAACCAGAGCTGAGGATCAGCTGTAACATGTGATGGACGGCCAAAGGAGTTCGGAGTAGGGTTTCAAACAGCAATGCCACAGCAACCTGAACAGTCAGGTAAAGAGTGCAATGGAGAGAATGTGTCAAATAGCTTCAAACGCTCTTAATAACAATGGTGAGATTTCTCTCTCTGGAGCAGTGATACTCAGACCTCAGTGGTTCAGGAGGCAAATTAGCGACCAACATTACGCAAAAGAGCCACAGTACTGTGAATTCATTGTTTAATTTACTATAGTACTATATATTCATATTTAAACAGTATGATGGGGAAATATTTAGGGGTTTATATATATATAATTATATATATATAATATATATATAATTGATATATATAATTCTTATCAACTACAATTGGTTAATGACATCGTAAAAGCATCCTGATTAACCAATCTCAGCCCTGGTCTACGCTACGAGTTTAGGTCAAATTTAGCAACGTTAGATTGATTTAACCCTGCACCTGTCCACATAACAAAGCCATTTTTGTTGACTTAATGTGCTCTTAAAATCTATTTCTGTACTCCTCCCCGACGAGGGGATTAGCACTGAAATCGACATTGCCGGATCGAATTTGGGGTAGTGTGGACGCAATTCAACTGTATTGGCCTCCAGGAGCTATCCCAGAGTGCTCCATTGTGACCGCTCTGGACAGCATTCTCAACTCGGATGCATTGGCCAGGTAGACAGGAAAAGCCCCGCAAACTTTTGAATTTCATTTCCTGTTTGGCCACCGTGGCAAGCTGATCAGCACGGGTGACCGTGCAGATCTATCAGCAGAGGTGACCATGGAGTCCCAGAATCACAAAAGAGCTCCAGCATGGACCAAACGGGAGGTACTGGATCTGATCGCTGTATGGGGAGACGAATCCGTGCTATCAGAACTCCGTTCCAAAAGATGAAATGCCAAAATATTTGAAAAAATCTCCAAGGGCATGAAGGACAGAGGCTATAACAGGGACCCGCAGCACTGCCACATGAAACTTAAGGAGCTCAGGGAAGCCTACCAAAAAAACACAGAGGCAAACGCCCACTTGGGGTCAGAGCCCCAGACATGCCGCTTCTATGATGAGTTGCATGCAATTCTAGGGGGTGCCTCTACAACTACCCCACGCCTGTATGTGGACTCCTGCAAGGGAGTCTCATGCAACAGGGATGAGGATTTTGGGGACGAGAAAGATGATGAGGAAGGGGAGGTTGAAGATAGCACACACCAGGCAACCGGAGAAACCATTCTTCCTGACAGCCAGGAACTGTTTATCACCCTGGAGCCAATACCCTCCCAACCCGGGCTCCCGGACCTTGAAGGCAGAGAAGGCACCTCTGGTGAGTGTACCTTTGTAAATATAATACACGGTTTAAAAGCAAGCATGTTTAATGATTAATTTTCCCTGAAGACTTGGGATGCATTTGCGGCCAGTACAGCTATAGGAAAACTCTGTTAACATATCTGAGGATGGAGCGGAAATCCTCCTGGAACATCTCAGTGAAGCTCTCCTGGAGGTACTCCCAAAGCCTTTGCAAAAGGTTTCTGGAGAGGTCAGCCTTATTGCATCCTCCATGGTAGGACACTTTACCACGCCAGGCCAGTAGCACGTAGTCTGGAATCATTACATAAGAAAGCATGGCAGTGTGTGGTCCCAGTGTTTGCTGGCATTCAAGCAACATCCATTCTTTATCTCTCTGTGTTATCCTCAGGAGAGTGATATCATTCATGGTCACCTGGTTGAAATAGGGGAATTTTATTACGGGGACATTCAGAGGTGGCCATTCCTGCTGGGCTGTTTGCCTGTGGCTGAAAAGGAATCATCCCCGCTGTTGTGTGGGGAGGAGTGAAGCAATCATCCCAGAGAATTGGGTGTGTGGGGAGGTTAGTTGGGTTTGTGCTGCACATTAACCCGAAAATATCAGCCCCTCCTTTTAAATGGCCAATATGTCTTTTTCAATTTTACTCCCTTTTTTTCCTCCCACAGCTACAAATGTTTCAGTGTTGCCACTAGCATCTCTGTCCCAGAGGCTAGCGCAGATAAGAAGGCGAAAAAAACACACTCACAATGAAATGTTCTCTGAGCTCATGCAGTTCACCCACACTGAAAGAACCCAGCAGAATGCATGGAGGCAGACAATGACAGAGTCCAGGAAAGCACAAAACGAACACGAGGACAGGAGGGATGCATGAGAGGATAGATGGCTGGAGCAACAGGAGAGGTGGCAGCAGCATGATGAGAGGAGGCAGGATGCAATGCTGAGGCTACTGGACGATCAAACTGATATGCTCCGGCATATGGTTGAGCTGCAGGAAAGGCACAGACCACCACTGCAGCCCCTATGTAATCAACCATCCTCCTCCCCAAGTTCCATAGCCTCCTCACCCAGACGTCCAAGAACGCGGGGGCAGAGGGGCTCCAGGCACCCAACCACTCCACCCTAGAGGATTACCCGAGCAACAGAAGGCTGGCATTCAATAAGTTTTGAAGCGCAGTGTGACCTTGTCCTTCCCTCCTCCCCACCTTCCCCACCCCACCCGGTGTTTCCCTCCTCCCCCACCCCTCCTGGGCTACCTTGGCAGTTATCCCCCTATTTGTATGATGAATTAATAAAGAATGCATACATTTGAAACAACAATGACTTTATTGCCTCTGCAAGCGGTTATCGAAGGGGGAGGGGAGGGCGGTTGGCTTACAGGGAAGTAGAGTGAACCAAGGGGGTGGGTTTTCATCAAGGAGAAACAAACAGAACTGTCACACCGTAGCCTGGTCAGCCATGAAACTGGTTTTCAAAGCTTCTCTGATGCGCAGCACGTCCTGCTGTGCTCTTCTAATCACCCTGGTGTCTGGCTGTGCATAATCAGCGGCCAGGCGATTTGCCTCAACTTCCCACCCTGCCATAAACATCTCCCTCTTACTCTCACAGATATTGTGGAGTACACAGCAATAACAATGGGAATATTGGTTTCGCTGAGGTCTAACCAAGTCAGTAAACCGCACCAGCGCACTTTTAAACTTCCAAATGCACATTCTACCACCATTCTGCACCTCCTCAGCCTATAGTTGAACAGCTCCTGACTACTGTCCAGGATGCCTATGTATGAATCATAGAATATCAGGGTTGGAAGGGACCTCAGGAGATCATCTAGTCCAACCCCCTGCTCAAAGCAGGACCAATCCCCAATTTTTGCCCGAGATCCTTAAGTGGCCCTCTCAAGGACTGAACTCACAACCCTGGGTTTAGCAGGCCAATGTTCAAACCACTGAGCTATCCCTCTCCCCTCTTCATGAGCCATGGCATTAAGGGGTAGGCTGGGTCCCCAGAGATAACTATAGGCATTTCAACATCCCCAACGGTTATTTTCTGGTCTGGAAAGTAAGTCCCTTGCTGCAGCTTCTCATACAGACCAGAGTTCCTGAAGATGCGAGCGTTATGTACCTTTCCCAGCCATCCCACGTTGATGTCGGTGAAACGTCCCTTGTGATCCACCAGTGCTTGCAGCACCATTGAAAAGTACCCCTTGCGGTTTATGTACTGGCTGCCTTGGTGCTCCGGTCCCAAGATAGGGATATGCATTCCGTCTATCGCCCCACCACAGTTAGGGAATCCCATTGCAGCAAAGCCATCCACTATAACCTGCACATTTCCCAGACTCACTACCCTAGATAGCAGCAGCTCGCTGATTGTGTTGGCTACTTGGATCACAGCAGCCCCCACAGTAGATTTGCCCACTCCAAATTGATTCCCTACTGAACGGTAGCTGTCTGGCATTGCAAGCTTCCAGAGGGCTATCACCACACGCTTGTGAACTGTGGGGACTGCTCTCATCTTGGTATTCTTGCGCTTCAGCGCAGGGGAAAGCAAGTCACAAAGTTCCATGAAAGTGCCCTTATGCATGCGAAAGTTTCGCAGCCGCTGGGAATCTTCCCAGACCTGCAACACTATGTGGTCCCACCAGTCTGTGCTTGTTTCCCAGGCCCAGAATCGGTGTTCTATGGCATGAGCCTACCCCATTGCCACCAGGATGGCCAAATTGCCAGGGCCTGTGCTTTGAGAGAAGTATGTGTCCATGTCCTCATCACTGTCGTCACTGCACTGCCATCGCCTCCTTGCCTGCTTTTGCAGGTTCTGGTTCTGCATATACTGCATGATAATGAATGAGGTGTTTACAATGCTCACAACTGCCGCGGTGATCTGAGCAGGCTCCATGCTTGCCGTGGTATGGTGTCTGCAGGAGAGAAGTGGTGGTTGGATGACCAGTTTTGCACACCTACTGCACTGTCTGCTGCCAGGACACAACAGCTGAGTGGGCTGCACGCTTGCCGTGGTATGGCGAGACAAGAGCAGCTGAGCAGAGTTGCAGCGGGAAGTGGCGGATGACGATGGTCATATAGAGGACCTGCGAGACCACCAGGAGAGTAGGAGAGCAGAGGGGCAGCAGAAGCGGTGGATGATGACGGTTATATAGAGGACCTGCGAGGTGGATTCATAGCACTCAATGACGACAGTTTGCAGCCCTACTGCACTGTCTGCTGAAAGCAGTATGGCGCCCGCACGGAAAAAAGGCACGAAACGATTGTCTGCCGTTGCTTTAACAGAGGGAGGGGCGACTGACGACTTGTACCCAAAACCACCCACGACAATGTTTTTGCCCCACCAGGCATTGAGAGCTCAACCCAGAATTCCAATGGGCAGCAGAGACTGCGGGATAGCTACCCACAGTGCAACGCTCTGAAAGTCGATGCTAGCCATGGTACTGTGGACGCACTCCATTGACTTAATGCACTTAGTAGGGACACACACAATCGACTGTATAAAATTGCTTCATAAAAACCGACTTCTATAAATTCGACCTAATTTTGTAGTGTAGACATACCCACAGTTATTAACCAATAATGAAATCACACAGTGTTTTAATATCATGTGCTGCAAAGAGCCGCAGGAGACACATTAAAGAGCCACTTGCAGCTCGTGAGCTTCAGTATGAGTATCACTGCTCTAGGGAGAACCAGCCATTCGCATCAATTGTACAGTGATATCTCTTCTCTTCTTCTCCTCTTATGTCCACACCCTTACGGTGGAGCATAGAGTACAGGAACCTACATGTGTAGCTACACACGGAAGTGAAAGGCTCCAGCAATGGAGAAAGGGCTCTGGTAACAAGGAGCTGCTGGAGTCTTTCCCTGCTGCCTTCCTCTACCAGACCCTCTTCTTGCTGCCAGAGCTTTTCACTTCAGTAAGGAAAGTCTCTGGAAGCGAGGAGGCAGCAGAGAAAGGCTTTGGCAGGGGAGAGGCAGCGCTGTCCCACTGCCTCTCCCCTGCCGGAGCCTTTTACTGCAATAGGGAAAGGGTCCAGCAGCCAGGAAGAAGCAGAACACTAGACAGCTAAAAATACCAGTGTAGATGTTGGAAGCATGTAGAGAGCCATGTAGAGTACACACACTGGGGGTTCAGGTGAGTAAGACCTTGCCTCTGCTCTACTTGCATAAGCCGTGCTGTTTATACCCACATTGGCAGTATCTGTACTCTACATCCTGCTGTAATTGTAGATGTATATTTTCTTACATTATAAAATCTTTGGGGCCGAGACTGTCCCTTTGTTCTGTATTTGTATAGCACCTAGCACAATAGGCCCCTTCAGCACTGACATAATCAGAAATATTAATAACTAATTAATAACATAATGCTTTCTGTGATCTGAACTACTGTCCTTTGTCTTGTATTAGGTTGTAGATTCTTTGGGGGCAAGGAATGAAATTTATCTAATGCATTGGTTACCTTTTCTGTATTAAAGAAACATTTTCAAATAATATTAGCATAGATGGCTGACTTTCTATATTTTCAGAAATTATAAAATCAACACTAGAAGAGAATTCAAAAACAGGTACACCAGAGCATCCTGTAATATATCTATATTTTAAAATCCTGTTTGCTTGATTAATCCCATTCAGCCCATCTTTCGACAAAGAGTACTGAAAGACATCCAGTTGTGTACTGAATATACACATCTGTGTTTCTGATTAGGAAAGAAAATCATTCTGAATCCGCATCATTTTTTGTGTTTCAGTTCTGTATTTCACTTTTCCATAAGGGGAAATTTCTTGTTTCAAGGAGCACAAACCTTAAATGTGAGAATCTGGGTTTTTCCTGAAATTCAGGGACATTGAAAGGTCTGGCTTGCGGCTGCATAGCATGGCCTACAATTTGTTCCTGGTTCCCCCTTCTGTACAGAATTCTTTCCCCAAGAAGGAGCTTTATTGCTCCAGTGAATGCCAATTTAATTGATCATTACCAGACACTTTAAATGAAATATTACCAAATGCTGTTCCCTCATAAACACATAACAAAACTTACAACATTATGATAAGTTATAAATCTACCTCAGTAATAAAAAAAAATCTATTCCAACTAGACAAAAAAGTTCTGTTTTCCCCATTGATTTCGTTATAATTCCCCTGATATTAACCCATTGCTCAGACTGGCTAATGAGTTTTCCCATAGCCTTCTGCCCTATAAAACCTCTAGCAAAGACCTTGTAAGCAAGGAAGTAAGTTACTCCTTAGACTGGGTGGAAATGTGAGTAACTGAACAACTTTGAGCAAAGTAGGGGAAACTTCAAGGATCATCCCATTTTGTCCTTTTCCCCTCTCACAGTGCATCCTATTCATGGCCTCATACCATGAAGACCTCTTTCCAGCTCAAAATCAGCTCCCTCTAGAACAGGGGTGGGCAAACTACGGCCTGGGGGCCACATCTGGCCCTTCAGACATTTTAATCCAGCCCTCAAGCTCCAGCCGGGGAGCAGGGTCCAGGTCTTACCCCATTCCGACGCTCCAGCTGGGGAGCGGGGTCAGGGGCTTGCCCTGCTCCACACGTGCTGTGGCTCTGCGTGGCTCCTGGAAGCACCGGCATGTCCCGCCTCCAGCTCCTACACATAGGGGCAGCCAGGGGGCCCCACCCCAAGCACCGCCTCCACAGCTCCATTGGCTGGGAACTGCGGCCAATGGGAGCTGCCTGGCCATGCCTCCATGTAGGAGCCGGAGGGGGGACATGCCGCTGCTTCCAGGAGCTACTTGAGGTAAGCGCCAACTGGAGTCTGATCCCCTCCCGTGCCCCAACACCTTCCCCAGGCCTGATCCCCCTCCCACCCTCCAAACCCCTGGGTCCCCGCATGGAGCACCCTCCTGCACCACCAACCCCTCATCCCTAGCCCTACCCCAGAGCCCACATCCCCAGCCAGAGCTGCACCCCCCTCTGCACCCCAACCCCCTGCCCCAGCCTGGAACCTTCTCCCACACCCTGAACTCCTCATTTCTGGCTCCACCCCAGAGCCCACACCCCAGCCAGAGCCCTCACCCCCTCCCACACCCCAACCCCCAATTTTGTGAGTATTCATGGCCTGCCATACAATTTCCATACCCAGATGTGGCTCGGGCCAAAAGGTTTGCCCACCCCTGCTCTAGAAGATCAATGGGGTCACTCCTGAACCAGCCACAAGAGTTGTTCTAGAGAGAGATAAGTCACTCCCTGATCCTAAGTGCCCACGGGTGGACTATCAAGCACCCTGCAGGGTCAAGTCAGATGTGTGGAATCAAAATCATTCTAAGCAGCTTGTCCATCTAGCTGGAAGAAAGTTAAAACAGCAGCATCTTTAGATCAAGTTCGGAGTGAAGCTTTAAAGCCTCTCCAAATGAATCAGACTTATTCAACTTTTTATTGGTTTCAGAGTAGCAGACGTGCTAGTCTGTATTCGCAAAAAGAAAAGGAGTACTAGTGGCACCTTAGAGACTAACCAATTTATTTGAGCATAAGCTTTCATGAGCTACAGCTCACTTCATTGGATGCATTCAGTGGAAAATACAGTGGGAAGATTTATATACACACAGAACATGAAAAAATGGGTTTTATCATACACACTGTAAGGAGACTGATCACTTAAGATGAGCTATTACCGGCAGGAGAGCGGGAGAGAGAAAACCTTTTGTAGTGATAATCAAGGTGGGCCATTTCCAGCAATTAACAGGAACGTCCAAGGAGCAGTGGCGGGGGCGGGGGGGGGGGAATAAACATGGGGAAACAGTTTTACTTTGTGTAATGACACATCCACTCCCAGTCTCTATTCAAGCCTAAGTTAATTGTATCCAGTTTGCAAATTAATTCCAATTCAGCAGTCTCTCGTTGGAGTCTGTTTTTGAAGTCTTTTTGTTGTAATATTGCGACCTTTAGGTCTGAAATCGAGTGACCAGAGAGATTGAAGTGTTCTCCAACTGGTTTATGAATGTTATAATTCTTGACATCTGATTTGTGTCCATTTATTCTTTTACATAGAGATTGTCCAGTTTGACCAATGTACATGGCAGAGGGGCATTGCTGGCACATGATGGCATATATCACATTGGTAGATGTACAGTTGAACGAGCCTCTGGTAGTGTGGCTGATGAGATTAGGCCCTATGATGGTGTCCCCCGAATAGATATGTGGACACAGTTGGCAAAGGGCTTTGTTGCAAGGATAGGTTCCTGGGTTAGTGGTTCTGTTGTGTGGGGTGTGTGGTTGCTGGTGAGTATTTGCTTCAGGTTAGGGGGCTGTCTGTAGGCAAGGACTGGCCTGTCTCCCAAGATCTGTGAGAGTGATGGGTCGTCCTTCAGGATAGGTTGTAGATCAATGCCCCTCTGCCATGTACATTGGTCAAACTGGACAGTCTCTATGTAAAAGAATAAATGGACACAAATCAGATGTCAAGAATTTTTTTCATGTTCTGTGTGTATATAAATCTCCCCACTGTATTTTCCACTGAATGCATCCGATGACGTGAGCTGTAGCTCATGAAAGCTTATGCTCAAATAAATTGGTTAGTCTCTAAGGTGCCACTGGTACTCCTTTTCTTTCAACTTTTTATTGTACAAGTTCTAAAAGCCAGGCAAGGTCTATGGCAGATCAGTTTGCAGTCAAGCTGGTTTGGGTTTTCAAAATGCATCTATTACTGCAGATATGCACCTGGCTAGCAGCGATTTCCCCAGCTCAGACATTTCAGAGTTTAATCTTTTCAGGCTCGGAGCAACGGGCACAGGAAAAATGACGACACCAAAGGCTAGGGTGACATATTTAGATCTGAGTGAGAAATGTTTAAAGTTTGATTACTTGTACCCATCACATGAATTCAAACATTTCATGCCAGTTTTGATCATCCCTCAGATACCCACTTCATTCTGCAAGTCAGAAAGGAACTCTTACCTCAGTGTCTATATCTGCACTGGCCCCAATGTCACTACTGTTAAGGAAGTATTTTTCATCAGTCTCTACTGTCTGCCAGTAGAACCCAGCTGGCATTGCAAATGCTTTCTCCACTGCCTGAAATGCACAAAAGACAGCTTTTATTTGTGAATTATCTTGATCCTTCAAAGTCAGGAACTGAAAAAGACAGCATGGGTAATGCTAAGGCTAGAGATCAGAAAAAGTGACAAAGGATTATACTCATTAGTCCAATATCATGGCATTTTTTGTTCTATCTTTCCCATTAGGTGCAATAAAGACTACTTGAAATGACATCCAAGAGCACAGATCTGTTACAATTGGTATCTTGGGAAAATGAACACAATTAGGGACCAACCCAGCTATCATTCCATTTGCAGACCACCCACTGACTTCAATGGATGCTACATGCAATGGGGGATGTTACATGCAATGGGGGATCAGGCCTATATATAAGCCTGCAAGATGCTTAGCACTGCTGCGCCTTGCCTGTCAGTGAGGGTTCTGAACATCTCACTGGAAAGGGCTACATGATGAGACCAATTTGGTTAGCTGTTGAACATTGCAACCAGGTTAGGAATCAGCCAATTGTTACAAGAATGAAACCAAAGTCAGTTCATCAAAGCAAATCAAACACACCACATTTCCGGAGATCCTGTTATTTTAGATGCAGTCACTACTGAGGCAGATGAGAGGCTGGCCTTTAGCCCCACGTTGCAGCACCCTGGAGGCATTTCATTACCCAGCATAAACTACACACCTGACTTTGTATTATTACGTACACATTTTCTGTGCAGCAAACCAAGCAAATTGTAAGAGTGCAGTTTGAGCCTCTATGCTTAAGAACATGCCAGCTACTTCCCAGTCATAACAATTTGTTCTGGCTTGAAGATTAGCATGCAAAGATACAGACTAAGAATTAATGCATCTACAGAACACGGAGGGAACTCTTACTGGCCAAGTTCTGCTTAATGGGACAAATTCTGCTCTTAGTTATATCAGTGTAAATCTGGAGTCACTGCAGGAATATCCATGGAATTACTTGGGATTTACACAGAGCAGAATTTAGCCCTCTGACTGGAAACAAAATCAATTCTAAGCTAGATCTTCAGCTGGTGTAAATCAGCATGGCTCCATCGACTTTTGTTGAACAACTCAAATTTACACCAGCCGTGAATTTGACCCTAGAGATTAAGATGTCTTTTGAGCTCACATACCACCAGAATGTATTCCATGGAAAAGAAATGAAATTTCACAAATGCCTCATTAAGATTTTTATTGTAGATAGAGCTTGGGCTAATTACACAAAAAGCTGCCATTCTGGCCTACAAAGTACATATAACACAGTTTATTTGTGTAAGCACCTGAGAGATATTCTGCTCTGCCGCACAAATAATATGGACTTCATGTCTTTCTATAAATGTTTAAAAACAACAACGAAAGGCGATTCATTTGAGTAATGTTAAAACCCCACTGACACCTCCTGGCCCTGTGCTGCAGCAGCATTTTGTTTTAGTTTTATTATTATTAATTATTATTAACACTATAAGAGTCATTTGCATGGAAACAGAATTTTGAGGTCAGCTGGTGTTAACAGGCAGAACTCCATAGGGGCAGATCCCAGCTATTGTGAATTGGCATGGCTCTGTTGAAGTCAATGGTACTACCTCAATTTACACCAATGGAGGATCTGTCCCCTTGTTTCTGCAGCTCACTGTGCACCAGCTTCTGCCTGTGACATCACACTCCTTTGCTGTGGAAAATATGACAGTGATAGAAACAGAAGCGAGAAATCAGCAACCTAAGATAAAAAAAAAATGACTCTGGTCCCAAAGGTCTCTGTCAGTTCCTCTGTGCTACGCAGGTAGCAGTGCAATGCAGATTAGGCCATGCAGGCTAGGAAACCCCAGAGACCCCAATCCTGAAAATCCCTGGCAGCTGCTCAGAGGTCACTTCACTACTCACCAATCAAATGCAGAAGCAGCAAGGACCTCTCCAGCACATTGCTTCTCCTGTTGCTGTGGCCTTTTTCCCTTGCATGTGTCCTGCCACCCCACTCCTGCTTTTTATCTCTGACCAGAAGATGGGAAGCCCTGGTCTACACTACGGGATTAGGTAGAATTTAGCGGCGTTAGGTCGATTTTAAAATGAATCATAGAATCATAGAATATCAGGGTTGGAAAGGATCTCAGGAGGTCATCTAGTCCAACCCCCTGCTCAAAGCAGGACCAATCCCCAACTAAATCATCCCAGCCAGGGCTTTGTCAAGCCTGACCTTAAAAACTTCAAAGGAAGGAGATTCCACCATCTCCCTAGGTAACCCATTCCAGTGCTTCACCACCCTCCTAGTGAAAAAGTTTTTCCTAATATCCAACCTAAACCTCCCCCACTGCAACTTGAGACCATTACTCCTTGTTCTGACATCTGCTACCACTGAGAACATCTAGATCCATCCCCTTTCGAACCCCCTTTCAGGTAGTTGAAAGCGGCTATCAAATCCCCCCTCATTCTTTTCTTCCGCAGACTAAACAATCCCAGTTCCCTCAGCCTCTTCTCATAAATCATGTGTTCCAGTCCCCTAATCATTTTTGTTGCCCTCCGCTGGACTCTTTCCAATTTTTCCACATCCTTCTTGTAGTGTGGGGCCCAAAACTGGACACAGTACTCCAGATGAGGCCTCACCAATGTCGAATAGAGGGGAACGATCACGTCCCTTGAACTGCTGGCAATGCCCCTACTTATACAGCCCAAAATGCCACTGGCCTTCTTGGCAACAAGGGCACACTGTTGACTCATATCCAGCTTCTCGTCCACTGTAACCCCTAGGTCCTTTTCTGCAGAACTGCTGCCTAGCCATTCGGTCCCTAGTCTGTAGCGGTGCATGGGATTCTTCCGTCCTAAGTGCAGGACTCTGCACTTGTCCTTATTGAACCTCATCAGATTTCTTTTGGCCCAATCCTCTAATTTGTCTAGGTCCTTCTGTATCTTATCCCTACCCTATCCAGAGTATCTACCACTCCTCCCCGTTTAGTGTCATTGGAGACTTGCTGAGGGTGCAGTCCACGCCATCCTCCAGATCATTAATGAAGGTATTGAACAAAACTGGCCCCAGGACTGACCCTTGGGGCACTTTGCTTGATACCAGCTGCCAATTAGACATGGAGCCATTGTATCCATTGAGCCCGACGATCTAGCCAGCTTCCTATCCACCTTATAGTCCATTCATCCAGCCCATACTTCTTTAGCTTGCTGGCAAGAATACTGTGGGAGACCATATGAAAAGCTTTCCTAAAGTCAAGGAATAACACATCCACTGCTTTCCCCTCATCCACAGAGCCAGTTATTTCGTCATAGAATGCAATTAGATTTGTCAGGCATGACTTGCCCTTGGTGAATCCATGCTGACTGTTCCTGATCACTTTCCTCTCCTCTAAGTGCTTCAGAATTGATTCCTTGAGGACCTGCTCCATGATTTTTCCAGGGACTGAGGTGAGGCTGACTGGCCTGTAGTTCCCAGGATCCTCCTTCTTCCCTTTTTTAAAGATGGGCACTACATTAGCCTTTTTCCAGTAGTCTGGGACCTCCCCTGATCGCCATGAGTTTTCAAAGATAATGGCCAATGGCTCTCCAATCACATCTGCCAACTCTTTTAGCACTCTCGGATGCAGCGCATCCAGCCCCATGGACTTGTGCTTGTCTAGCTTTTCTAAATAGTCCCAAACCACTTCTTTCTCCACAGAGGGCTGGTCACCTTCTCCCCATGCTGTGCTGCCCAGTGCTTAGTCTGGGAGCTGACCTTGTTCGTGAAGACAGAGGCAAAAAAAGCATTGAGTACCTTAGCTTTTTCCACATCCTCTGTCACTAGGTTGCCTCCCTTATTCAGTAAGAGGCCCACACTTTCCTTGACTTTCTTCCTGTTGCTAACATACCTGTAGAAACCCTTCTTGTTACTCTTAACATCTCTTGCTAGCTGCAACTCCAAGTGTGATTTGGCCTTCCTGATTTCACTCCTGCATGCCTGAGCAATGCCTGGTCATTTGTCCAATCTTCCATTTCTTGTAAGCTTCTTTTTGCTGTTTAAGATCAGCAAGGATTTCACTGTTAAGCCAAGCTGGTCACCTGCCATATTTACTATTCTTTCTACACAAAAATAGTAAATATGCGTTGACACAACCAACTATTCTTTCTACACAAGAATAGTAAATATGCATCTACACAACGAACCCCATTCCATCGACCTAAAGGGCTCTTAAAATCAACTTCTGTACTCCTCCCCGGCAAGGGGAGTAGCGCTAAAATCGACCTGGCTAGGTCGAATTTGGGATAGTGCAGATGCAATTCGACGGTATTGGCCTCCGGGAGCTATCCCAGAGTGCGCCAATGTGACCGCTCTGAACAGCACTTTGAACTCCAATGCACTAGCCAGGTACACAGTAAAAGCCCCAGGAAATTTTGAATTTCATTTCCTGTTTGATCAGCGTGGTGAGCTCAGCAGCACAGGTGACCATGCAGTCCCCCCACAATCGCAAACGAGCTCCAGCATGGACTGAAAGGGAGATACTGGATCTGATTGCTGTATGGGGAGAAGAATCTGTGCAGGCTGAACGCCGATCAAAAAGAAGAAATGCTAATATATATGCCAAAATTGCACAGGGCATGGTGGAGAGAGGCTACAACAGGGCCACACAGCAGTGCCGCATGAAAGTTAAGAAGCTCAGGCAAGCCTACCAAAAGACAAAGGAGGCAAACGGTCGCTCCAGGTCAGAGCCCCATACATGCCGCTTCTATGATCAGCTGCATGGCATTCTATGGGGGGACCCTATCACTACCCACCACTGTCCATGGACACCTGCAAGGGGAGAGTCTCACGCAACAGGGAGGAGGATTTTGTGGATGAGGAAGAGGAGGAGGAGGAGGAGAATGCGCAGCAGGCAAACAGTGAATCCGTTCTCCTCAGCAGCCAGGACCTTTTCATCACCCTGGAGCCAATACCCTCCCAAGGCGGGATCCCCGACCCTGAAGCCGGAGAAGGCAGCTCTGGGGAGTGCACATTTGTAACTACAGTACAGGGTTTAAAAGCAATAGTGTTTAATGTCTGA